GTTTTATTTAAGAATTATCTTGTTAATCTTAGTTTAATACGTGCTCGTTTTTAATTACACGGGCAAGGACTGTGTAGTATCATTTTCCACTTTGGAGATCTACAGAATGCAACTTGTTAAGTAAGCCAGATGTTTGCGACACAACTTTGGCGCCAGTGTACTGTATTGTTATAGGGATCACGTATAACATTTATTACGTTACGCCTTTTGTTTTTAATGTCATTCGAGTTTTTAACCAACAAAGAATCTCTTAAAACTAGAAATATAGAATCAGAATATATATTATCCAACGGTAACAGATGACATAGAGCAATTTACCGTTCCGCTGTTTGTAAAAAAAAACCCTATTGTTTCCTACAATAAAACACTTTTCTACGGTATCATAATTCTAGTATATGACAAGCTTACATAGTGTAACTAAATAACTGTGGTTTTAACATACTTTTTAAACATATCGAAGTAAAGTGTTCAAGAATTCCTGACTTAAATAAGATACTTCTTAAATTGTATTGTTAACCATTCATCTATCTAAAGAGGTATACATTTTCTCCACGACTCAATTGACAATTCCAAAGAATAAGTTAAATACTGTCTGTAGTTTACGCGAGTAAATAAAACACTAACGGTTTAAAACGCGATATATTCCTCCCCACTGCGGCTGGTGCAAAGCATCCGAAACGTCGGGCCGTAGTTAAAAATAGTTTTCAAACAAGTGTAACTAAAATATATCGCGTTTTAAACCGTTAGTGTTTTTTTTTAAATGTGTACTACCCGCGTAAACTACAGACAGTATTTAAGTAATTCTTTGGAAGGAAGTGAAGTAACACTTTATCTATTTATTTTCTCCCCGCATAAGAAAAACCGGACAGGAAAAGGTCTGTTGTCCTCTCAAACATATTAAGTGTACAATGCTGACATTTTAACAGTTTTGAAAATACGAGCAAAATACCTAGCTAGGTGGTTAGAACCCCCTGGGAGGCAAAAGACGGTCGCATATATACCATAAACTGGGAAAAAGTACGTATATTTTTATTATTTATGAAGTTTGTGAGGTGCGAGTAATCACTTCTCATTCTTACACACTCACTTATGGCCCGACAAAACTACATGAAACGTACGCTCGCCTCTCGTTGTCCAATAGTATATATATAGTAATATTATAAAGCTAACGGTTTGGCTATTCTTTTTTAAAAAACTAAAAAAATAACCTAACAGTATTTGTTTATAACTTAAGAAAAGCTCACAAGAACCGCTCACAAGAGAATCAAATTTTTATGTGGCAAAATAAAGTTTACCAGATCATATAGTATTTCGTAGATCCACTAATTTTTCGTACATAGTACTGACTGTGTTCTTACCACGTGTTCATTGAATTACAGAGAGGAAAATGAGGAAACTGAGTATAATAAATGTATTACAGTATATTGTTGGATTAACTAATAATTCATAGTTTATATTATATACCGCACAAGAATCGTTTTACTCTTAAAATAACAATGGCAACTTACACTGTCACTAAAGTACACTTTCTTTAACATGAAAAAGGTCCTATATTATTATTTCAACAGTTATTAATTGTTACGTTTACGAGACCACAGATTGCGCACAACCACGTCTTTTGTCACGGCAGATCTGTGTAATTAATTAGAAATGCCGTTGTATATAAGACAGTCAACTATTTCAACCCAGACATCGCAAGCGATGTTGAAACTGGTGAGGAAACTAGATTCATTAGCCAATGACATAAATAGTTTACTGAATCCTTTATACTTCAATGTATCTTAACTCTATAGATGCAACTAAGTTATTATGACCTAACATGTATTAAAAGTCCATCAGAAGATTAATATCAGTAAATAAAACCACTTTTAATGGTTTAATGCGCCGTAGTAAACTGCTGCTGCTGCGGCTGCTGCAACGCATTCGAAAATGCTGCGCAATCAAAATATATTGTAAATAAGTCTATTTATTTAAGAAAACAGGAAACAAACGGAATTTGAAAAGTAACATTTGATAAGAAATACAAAGTAAAATGTGAAGTACAGATAAACCCGCGCAAAATTATAGATAATATCTGTGGCGTTCAAATTTGATGGTAAAATATATCCTCTTTAATACATACACATGTATTAAAGAGGATACTTTCACATTTATATCAATAGGAAGATAACAATAATACATTAAAATCACTGTTTAATAGCTCTTTCGTTTTATTACGTAAAGTACCTACTCATCAAGGTGAGTGTACGCAGTAAGTGTCGGTTTGCGTGTTCTGTAATAATTGAATGGAGTTACCTTGTTCCTGTTGCGCTGGGACCCGAACACGAGCGTCTTCAACTCGCCTCTCCATCTCAATCGATACACACATTTACATCTCGAGTATGTTTCTTAATAGATTGGAAATATTTTATTCAAAGGATAGGTTTGTTTGTTTTTGCCACACACTTATATAAAGCCTCTTTTCCGTCTTTATTATACTTGAGGACTAAAACAAAACACAATCGTTTTAACATAGAAACTAATCTCATTTCAAATTTGTCGCGATACAGAAAAAAACGTACTACATTATCTTTGTGAGACAAAAAGAGGTTCCCATTTATCTCGCGTAACGGAATTCGAGTTTAATAAAAAGGTAGCTAGAAAATTTTACCCTTTAATGAAATAAAAAACGCGAATGGATTTATTTCAAATCTGATTATTTAGACAGCCCTTAATTAGAACCTTTGTATTCCAAACTTTTTTAACGTAATTTCCTTTATACCATTAAAGTGATAAACCACTCGTCACGTAATGCGTTACGGTGCCATCAAATAATTTATCACTTCTGTAAAAACCCGAGACGAATAGCTTTAAAAAAATACTTGATACTAAAAAATCATACTAAGTATTATATGTTTATGAAAACATATAGAAAAAATGAGACTACTTAAAATGATTGGATTCTACAAATAACTGCTACGCTCTTTTGTAGCACTTACTACGCGACGCTACGTACATTATCTACGAAATGTTGTAGACATTTCGTTCAGTTATTTTAATGATTAAAAACGGATTCCATTGTTTCAAATATCATTTATAACTTCAGCCTAAAAAAAACATACACAAATTTTAATAAGCATAAATATTATAATAATTCATGCAGTAATAAGCGTAACTAGAATGCTACATTTTATATATATAGCAAAAGAAGTACGAAGCTGACTTCGTTCCGCTATGAATTATAAAATAAAATTGCCGCGTCTTATTATTTAATCAAAAACTTATTTACTTCACTATTTCTCAAAGCCGATGCCGTGGAATGTATTAAACCAGATTTATATGGTTTTTTTATTTTAGTGATTTGATTGATTATTTAAAGTTACTTGTTTAGTGACTAAGCTTTGTGGGGTATTTTGCGGTCGGTACGTTCGCAACGGTAGCGAGACGAAGCGCGACTAACGCTTGGTTAACGCAGAATTATATAAGGCTTCACGAACTCCATATTCTATATGAACGATATATCGGTCATAAAAACAAACTTTTGCCTGGTAACTTACCTAGCGTTTGTGATGTTTTCTAGGGACAGAAAACAAAGATTACTTACTATTCTTTTGCTTATTATCTTCGTTAATTGACTTTCAACGTTAGTTGAGCAAATTTTTAGGGTTTTTGGAATCGCTAGCATAAGAAATTAATAGAGAAATATATTTTTTGTTATTTAAAACGGCCACCGCGACTGAGTTGTAAGCGTGCCTTATATATTTTTAAGATTGTACCATTGAAGTCTGATCACATCCTTCCCTATAGAGAAATCAGCCAATAAAATAGATGGGAAGTGTCTTCATTTTATTGCCCAAGTAAGGGTCCAAGCAATAGTCAAACAATCCGTTTTATTAAAATTTATTTACATACTTTAATTTAAATAAAACACTTTAACGGTTTAAAACGCGATATATTAGTTAAACTTATTTGAAAATTATTTTTAACTTCGTCTCCCCGTGACCACGGCTGCTGCAAAGCATCCGAAACGTCGGCTCTATGGTTATCGTGCAAATTAAAATAATTTATTCAACACCAAAGAATATACATACATAAATTATAGAAATATATAAAAAATACATTTATAGGTAATTATCACCTACACTAACTTTTTTGTAGAAGAACATGTTTCAGCTATTGCTGCGACAAGAAATTTGTTGCAGCGCCGATTTTCAGTGTAATAATGAAAAAACTAATACAAAAGAAATACAAGTATAAATCTAAAAGCAATTACTATACAACAAAAAAATAATTAACACATTACACTTATAAAATAAAATACTAAGCCTAAGAAACAATATTTACACTAATTACAAGTACAGATATGTAATGTTTCACTTACACACCACTGAGTGTGGTTCCCACACCCCAAAAGAATCTTTTATATTTCAATTTAAAAGAATTTAATGAAACTGTGTTCCAGAGTGGACCTGGTAAGTCATTCTAACACAAAGTAGCGTTGTATGTGAATCTCCCTCAAACACCGCTGTATTATATTATAAAGGTATAGACAGGGCAAATAATGAAGCTCCCGTTTTGTACTTATTTTTACTATCCACAATAACTTTAGAAAAAACAATAATGCTTGACCTGTTTATTTAAAAAACTTGCATAGATTTATTAACTAAAATATCAAATTCTTTTCAAGTGACAGTAGATGACTTGAGGTTAAGTAAATTTTCATAAGTTTTTTACCATAATTAAACCAGAAAGGATACATAATAAACCAGATACAATACAATACAAAAAATAGATTTTTCATTACTGTCCCTAATCCTCACACTAGGCCATGCCCATGTTGTAGGTGACTAGTATATATATATTCTACTGGTAAATACACTTAAATTAAAAATTTTGGTAATCATAGTTAAATTTTTCATAACAAATAAAAAGAAAAATGCCCTTTTTGTTGTACATGATTTCTTTTTTGGATAAAGTGTTTTATTACCTTATCATAACAACCAAATATAATCAACCTAATCTTATTCCTTTTTCTCAGAATTTGTCCCAACTGGCTCGTCAGATTGCAATCGTTCAATAGATGTTGACAATTGTTCTAAACTCTGTACAAGTTGACTCATCTTGTCTTTTGCCGATGAATTCTCAAAGTTATCCTCAGATGGTTTCTCTGGGTCTCCATACAACTTGAAATGTAACCTAGCCAAATGTTCTTGTTGATCTCTTACATCCACCATCTGTTCCATGCTGCAGCCTGTGCTAAATGCACTAAGTTTACCTGTGTGGAAGTCATCTAGTAATTCTAACAAGGCCTTTTCCATATGTTTAACGTCTGGGGTTTCCTTAGGTATGTGCTTTGGTCTATTATTGTATGAGCGCATGAAGTCTCTATGTTGTCGCCGTTCGTTTACATACGACATTTTTGTGGAATCGTTAAGGCTGTTTGCTGTGTTTGAGTAGCCTTGGGCATTCTTTGATGTTAAACTCGCTGCACCGCTGGATAATTTGTTGCTTGTTACGGGAGAAGTAGCCGATAGCGACACTTTCTGCTCCTCGTCTTCCCCCTCATTTTGCATAAGTTGCTGCGTTTCGTTACTATGTTCCGAATCTAAGCTCATGTAGTTGTTACTTTGTATTGCCTGTCAATCGAAGCTATTAGAAACCTCACATGCCCTTTAACTGTCAAGGAGATATATTTCCAAGTTATTTTTAATGTTCAACGAATTTAGTTTTTTTAACGAATATTATACAAATGTGGATAAATACAATGCTATATTGGACTTTATCAGGTCAAACTTTAATTGCTTTTGACAAATTTTCATTTATTATGACAACTAGAACTTGTAACTAGTCAATTGTCATCTTAAACATAGATAATATTCATGGTATTCATAAATTTTGTAAAATCCAGAGTGTCTTCAGAAATTAAATAATACGGAAAAAAAACGTCGACTGGGATGGATATGGCGGGATATTTAACCAGAGAAACGAGATATGATATATAAACTAACCTCGAGAGCGATAAAGACGAGTATATTCGACTTACTTGAGCGCGGGGGGGGGGGCGACCACAGGGTGACACGGGCTTTTGTGTGGCGGCGCGATGTTAACTAGTAGTCAACACGTCCAATTTGCGGGGGCGCGTTCACGAGTTCAATTTGTGTTTTAATATTTATGACGTAATCGTTAACGTATACAAGTGAGCGGTAATAAAAGAACTAATAATCAATAGCTAAACGATGAACTATGAAAGATAAGATGAAGCTAGGATTAACGCAGCTATGTCGCGGACAATGTCCCCAATATAGAATGCCTCTTCGCTGGTCTTCTTATAGCGTCCGCTCTCAAAATACTACATGATATCTCTCGATTTGATCTACATAATTCTATCCACCAATTAGAGGGGTTGCTAGACGTGAATGTTTTGAATTTTGACCGTTTGTAGAAATTATCAAACTACCTCTCTGATTGAAAAGGATGAGCAAACTACAAAGTACTAATAAAATGAAATCCATCCAATTCGATATTGAAAAGTTTATTTATCATGAAAACAAACATGCAAGTACATTTTTAAAATGTTATTACATTGTGTTATTCTTTCAGTGCAATATATGCTGCTGTGAATGGTTAAACAAAATTAATATTTAAAACTAAATCCAATAACGACAGATTATTATTTTCAAATGGGACGGACTGACAATTTTATTTTCAACTCCTTTGGATTGCGAGAACATATTATTTCAATACGTACACGTAGCAGTCTTCTGTAAGTTATTTAAATATCAATATATTTTAAATCCTATCAAGCGTACGCATTACTGAAGCAGCTTTACATTTTTATTAAAGAGATAGGGTTTCTTCTTTCTTTGCCACATACTGCTTTTGACCTAATAAATCTAAACGTGTTTTTTGAAACGTACTACGGATAAATACACCATAGAATACAATAAAAATAACAACATGTTGTCTATTTTTTTTGGATCAACTTCTTTCTTCGATGAAGTGATGTGATCCCTTTCCCAAGAATACCGTTCAATACCAATTGTTTAACTTCCGGTAATTCATTAAAGACAATTACCATATAAATTTATGAACACAAAACAGTATCTTCTTGTGTAGTTTTAAAAGTTTGTGCATTAGCAGCATAGTATTCCATGGTATACTTATTCACAGACTGAATTTGATTGATTTGAATTTATTACAGTTTAATAATAAGCAGTTAAGATATAGTATGCTATCAAACATGTTTTCTTTCAGGTTAACATACGAAAAATGCAAGTTCAGATAATTATGAGGTGTCCCAAATAGTCTATGTATAGTGTATTTTTTCCTACTTGGCAATTTTGGTAAACAAACACACGATTTACATGAAATTGTGATTTTCTCAGAAGGATTAAATTTATTTACACTGAAAACACTCTCGAGACAAAGTCCCACTCATGCGCGATGGTTGAAAAGCTTTACAAAAGTCGAGTTAAATAATAATGATATAAAAATTACAAAAATAAGTCGTCATTGAAGTGATTTTAAATATTGAGGTCGTTTGGTAATGGATATTTATTTAACCCTATATCATCTGTGGCAATGACTACACTCTGTAAGGGGGCATCACTAAATCGCTACAGTATGAAATCGGCCATATTTGTTGTGGTCTTTTGCCAAGTCAGAAAAAATGCAGTATAGTTTATAATTCACAGTTTAAAATAAAAACAATGCGACGGTTAGCAAATTACTTAAATGTTAGATCACATGAAGAATCCCATAATACGACATGCACAATAAACAGAGCACTAGTAATTTCGAACTTTCTAATTTCAACATCATTCAGTTATAAAAAATACTTAAACCCGAGAGAGTACCAAGTGATCACAGATTATGAATATTCCGTTCTAATCAGTACAAAAGTAACCAATTTTGAAACGGAGTTCTTACCTATTAACTACATAGTGGGAAATCTGATACTTGCCCATTACCAGGTGAATTTTATTTGCTGGCTCAAAAATAACACTAACAGACCATGAGCATGTACCAGTTTTCAGTTACAGCCTAGAAAACTGGAGATATGCTACAATTCGTATACAGGTAAAACAGAACCAACAACGATATATTTTGTAGTTACGACATACAGACATTAATTTTGAAATGTTTAAATTGCTTCAAACATATCCACCAAAAACGAGGCTGCTAGAGGCAGAGTGGCCTAATAAATTAACATGATTTTACATAAGGAACATATGAATGGGCAATCAACTTAGGCGAAAATTAATTTGGCCTATTATTTGAGTAAGAATTATTTTAACAATTTTCGGTCATTGTGGATTAATATTTTTAGACTAGAAAAATATAAATACTCAAGTCATAAAATTGCAGTTAAACTACTCTGCCTCTGCTTACATCATGAACTAAGCAGCCAATTCGAATGTTTACCCGCCTTTTGTTTTCGTTCATTATAAATTCTGCTTTAACCTATATAGCCAAATTTGAATGCCAGTACAGTAATAATAAAAATGCAACATGTACTTTGGCAATGAAGATAGTATTCATAAATTATTTTGTAATTCTATAAAATATAATCTTTGTGTACTGGCGTTCAAACGCTTATCGATAAACGACGGCTGGTTTTAGAAAGATTTGCTTTTACACTTTAGAATAAAAGTAACTTTAACTAAGCCAACTCCGCCACTAATCACTAAAGAACATGTAAGCAGTTAGCGTCAGGTGTCATCTTGTATTACCAAAAAGACCCAGTTAACATATCAGGCTACAAATGTTCTAAGCTTACAATACAAATACAATTCAGTCTGACCACAGCTGAAATAACAATTCAGAACAGTACCTAACAGTAAATGAAGCGAACAACTAAAAAAGTAGTACTACGTAATTCATTAAATTGTAGCAGCAAATTGTATAGCCGGCCAAAAACTTAAAAAGAAGTCATAAAAAAAATTATAGACCTTTTTTTTCTTGGAAAATTTACTCGTTTTTTAAAAATGTTCCATTTTTGAATTTGACAGAGGGCCAGACCTACGATAACAATAACTATATACGATTAAACATAACTCAATGAGATGCAAGAACGTTTTATACACGGCTACAAAAACAACAAATATGTTCTCACATCTCAAGCCAGTGCTTACACTTACAATTATGAAGCTAACAAAGCTAAAATATAAGCTTTAAACTTAAAACGCAATCACTATCGCCTTATGAAATATAAATAAAATCGTTAATAACGTAACTAAAGATCCAGTCGTGTGACATCGTAAAGACATTTTACTCCTGCTAAGAGTTATAGAGATCGAAATGTTATGCTATGCTATTCTCTTGGCCGAAAACATTATCAGATATATATGTTTTGAAAATAAAACTCGACAAGATATAGAACATAAGTTTTTAAAAGTTGGACTATAAAATTACTAATAAAAAAAGTTTTTATATATTAGAGTGCAAAGGATTTTCTTGAGGTAATTTCTGATTATGCACGGAGACCAATACAATATAATTTGCCTTAACTTTGCATTGTTAGTTCAATATCAACAAGCGTGCTTTCGATTCTATTCGTTCGTTTTGTAGTGAACGAACCGCAGACAAAAATAAACTTAACGTATGCAATATCTATGTGCAATTTGGCGAATATCTTTCAGACTGTAGACTCAATATTTCAGAATACGTACTTTTAACATGAGGTTCGGAACACATCGCGGTGTGATAATTCTATTGTCTACAAGAACTACGAGCAATAACCGCCCGGAATACAACAAGGACATTGACACAAAAACATTTATAACCCGTATTAGTTTTATCTATTTGGCCATCTATAAATTACATCATACTGGTTGCAGATCCTCACACCCGTGTAACGTCATATGCCTTTTTGTAGATCGTTCTTAACTATTTACAAAAAGCAACGCCACATTAGTTAGGACCCCTCCCACCCCTCACAGTAAAACGTAATTCATTGATGGCGTCATTTCGTGAATTTTATGAAAAAAACTTCTTGCATACAAGTAAAATAAATATTAAACACTATTACAATAACTACGCATTAGGAGAAAATTCATCACACATAACGGTATATTAGAAGTGCTGAATTTAATAAATTAATCGAATCGTATTTTTTTTAAGTATATGATACTGAATAATTACAGTAGCTGCGCCAGCGACTTCGTCCGCGTAAAAAAGTTATTTTGAGCATCAAAATTTATTTTTAAAACCTGCTCTTTGTCTTTATAAATTTAAGCTCTTTCCCCCAACATCAGTCGCGTCGAGTTAATGTTAAAAGTTAGACATATTGTGTCGCGGGAATTTATTTAATACATATTTTCGGGTTTATTGAACCGTACGTTTCGCTGCGTGCGCAACGGAAACTCATATAGATGAAATTTGCTCGTTTCCTCCACATTTTCCGCTGTTTCTTCATTCCTATTAGTCGCAGTGGAATGTTTTATAGCCGATATCCGAAACCTTCCTCGAAAAATGATCTAAGCAACACAAACAATTTTCAAGTCGAACCAGTAGTTCCTGACATTGGAGCGTTCAAACAAACAAACACTTCAGCTTTATATATTAGTATACATATCAAATAGGAGACAATTTAGAGTGAAATTATGAAAATGTATATGTATTGGCAACATTTCCGCAAAGACGGTTGGCAAACATTCAGAGATATATAGGAACAGGGGAAAGTACAGTATTATCTTGAAACACAGTCCCGTATAAACGAGAATAAGATACGAATCTATTGAAATTGGCCGAGTACGAACGCGTCCATAACTTTGGGGACGTGTTCGTCTATCCCAACAATATCGAGTACTCCTTGGTGGCTGCCGTCAGACGTGCCAACGCGATGCGAAGCCAGCGACATCACTATCAATCTGAAAATGTTATACATTTGATTAACAAACCTTGATTAATATACTATAAACAGTAGTAAACATCAGCAAGTAAGTTAGAAAATTACCAAATAGTTTACGCGAGTAATACACATTTAAATAAAACACTTTAACGGTCCGTAGTTAAAATAATTTTCAAATAAGTTTAACTAATATATATCGCGTTTTAAACCGTTAAAGTGTTTTATTTAAATTACCAATTTCTTAATAAAGGTGTTACAAGTTATAATCCTTATAAATCAATGCTAAAATGCAAATATTGTTTGTTTGTTCCTCGTTCGTTCCTCTTCACCATACCTAAGCAACGACTTCAGTATGTCCAACATATGTGAACTAGATTTTTAGCATGCTTGGGAAACGAGAATCGGATTATCATAAGTCTTTATTGGAATAGCTTGAATTACGATATTACTTATAGAAGAATAAAACAAACATAGACATGTGACCTGGACCAGCCCGGTAGACAGAAACGGAAAACAAGAAGAAAATACTCACTTTGCCTCCGGTTTCTCAGCCTTCACCCTATAACGCTCCAAGGCCCTCACGGGGCAATGGTCCGCCAATTCCTTAACTTGCGCGGGTGGTGGTCCGAAACGTCCACCGGGGCCTCTCCCACCCCTGAGGCTCACATCCAACTCCAAGTACCGCGACGGTCGGTCGATCATGTTTATAAAGACGTCGAACTTCTCGTTCATTTTGTTCGCCCATTCGATCGGTGCGTCCATTTGTACGCGACCAAGTTTGGCTTTCTACAACAGATTATTTTGAGACTGAATTCAGTACACCCACAAAGTAAATAGCAGTAATGTCAGCTTTTTAGTCTATCGTTACTAGTAAAAATAAGTTAAGGTTATGTTTAATCTGTAATATATTTACGTTTTGAACTCTTAATTCGGTTATCAACTAGGTGCAAATCTCCTTATTGCTTTCTACTGGGGACATCAATGGATAGCCGGGTGATTCAAACCATTTCTCTAATCTATACTAATATTATAAATACTAAAGTAAATCTGTCTGTCTGTCTGTCCTACTGAACTGATTTAAATGTAATTTGGTACACATTTTGGGAGTAGGAGTGGGAATGCCAATGAGAGTGGGAGTTAGAGTAGGAGTGATGTGAGGTGAGAGTGTTGTTAAGTAGCACTTACAACATAAATTGGCTGCTTTAAATGCGCCCTTACATAAATTAAAAAACAGCCTAAATAATTAAAAATTGTACCCCAAGTCACTATTCCACGCGGACGGAGTCGCGGGCCCAGCTAGTTTCCTTATATTTATTAAACATTCAGTTATAACGTCATACAGCATACTTGTAATTTATGCAAAGGTTTGTGACTTTGTAGGTAATAAAACTCGATTTTCATCTCATACTACGTCGAAAAAGTATAAGCCTATAATAAGTGTGATCAACACAGTTTTATAACAGCACTAGTAGGTTAGTATTATAAAGAGTAGATAGTTTTAAAATTAAAATTGTTATTGCAACTAAAACGATCGTTAGGAGTTTGCTTACCCTCAGATAGCGTTCAGTTCCTTCGATATTGGTGCATTTACGAGTGTCTATAATGTCCACTCCTTGCTCCGTGAAAACTGCCACCTTCACTTGTTTTTCACGTTTAAGCAATTGCAGCATCACAATTATTGCTGCAAAGCGAATGATATACGTTTTAAAGCAATTACAACATGTGACTGTAATTTACAAAAATGTTTGTCTCTCAATGAGTTAAGGCTTTATTATGCTTTAACTATTTACTATGTTTGAAAACTTTGTTAATTGTTACATGTTACTGCACATGAAGGCACTATATAATTTAAAAATCGGAAATAAATTTTAAAAAAATTCGACTCGGGCAGGACTTGTACCTTATACATAATAAGTTGAAAAAATTGACGATGAGATATAGGACTCGATAGCTCAACAGCACGGAACGCTGACGATGCCGGTTCAAGTCCTGCCCGAGTAGAAAATTTTTTCAATTTATTTTCGAATTTTAAATTATTTACTATGTGTGAAATCCCGTTTCCCCCTCGCGGGGCACGGGGCGATCACATTCCTGTGTCCGTTATACTGATCCGCAAGTACTTGATTAGGCTTCCGTGGCTTGCCCGACAGAAACATTAACGCATTGCTAGGCAATACGTTTAACCATTTGGCTACAGAGGCGGTCAGTTCTTTTTATTTTATTTGGAAAACAAAAAAACATCGAATTAAAAAAAAATTAAATCAATCTCATACCAGCATATCCAGGAATGACATTCTTATTGTAGAAGCATTCAGCGTTCGGTTTAGTCTTGCTAGGTGTAGTAGTAGTAGGCTGAGAAGCTTGGGCGTTATCAGCATCCCCCCCACCTCCATTACTGACAGCATTGCTTTCTGTCTTCTTTAGTTTCTTCAAAGCTATACTCCTTTCACAGAAGTGACGACCTGTTATTAAAATTAGTAATATAATTTAGGCATATCGAAATAAAATGTATAATATTATATTTTTTAAATAAAACACTTTCAACGTTTTAAAACGCGATATATTTTAATCTTGTTTAACTTTTTTTTTAATTTGAACTAGGGTCCGTTGTTTCGGTTGCTTTGCAGCAGTCGTGGTCACGGGGAGACTGAATTTGAAATAATTTTCAACCAAATTTAACTAAAATATATCGCGTTTTGAACTGTTTAAGTGTTTTATTTAAATATATGTACTACTCGCGTAAATTACAGACAGTATTGTATAATAGTATTAAAACCAACTACTAATCATGTAGATTTTCTGTGGGTGTATTTATAGAATCAGACCACACATAAATGATTTGTTTTTCTTCCTTCTATCCTAGCATACGACACACGGAAGCAATACACTTTTGTTCAAAGAAAACACTTTAACGGTTTAAAACACGATATATATCAGTTCAACTTATTTGGAAATTATTTTAACTACGTCCCGATGTTTCGGGTGTTTCACAGCAGCTGTGGTCACAGGACGAGACAAACCGTTAAAGTGCTTTATTTAAATGTGTACAATTCGCGTAACAGACAGTATACTTTTGGTTGATCAGGGCAAAGTTAAGATCAACTTCTTACCTGTTAAAAAAATCTATCAGTGAAACATATAGAGTTCGCCCTGAGTTCAACCTTTATGAAACCCTTTCTAATATTACCTTTAAACATATGGTCTCGCATGTCAAGCGTGATCAAGTAACGAGCTTTGGTTGGAGGAGTTAGCTTCCAAGACTCGTTGATCAAGTTCTGCAAAGCTGTTATTATAGCTTGATTCGGCAACTGGTCTATACCTAGAATTAGTTAAAGAAAAGTCAGAATCTAAAATCATGAACGGCTTTTGACTTAAGCATTTTTTAATAATAAAAAGTGGGAGTGAGAGAGGGAGTAAGTGTAGGAATGAGAGTAGGAGTGACGTGAGGTGAGAGTGTTGCGGCAAAGTAGCACTTACAACGTAGATTAGCTGCCTTAAATGCGCCCTTAGATAAATCAATAAACAGCGTAAATAATTAAAAATCCTACTCCAAGTCACTCGGACACATTCCACGCTGACGAAGTCGCGGGCACGGCTAGTTGTTGATAAATAAAACCTCAGGTAGTCCTAGGTTTTTTATTTATTTAAATAGATGCTAGGCCAGTATATGCCTTCATATGGAACTTAAATAAAACCGACGAAGTGAGGGGTTCCGTAGTATTGACTAGGTAATATTATACTAGGCAATTTTATATAAACTTATATGAAGTGCCAACTAATTAGTTTGTTTCCTTTAAATAATAATAAAATGAATACGCTAAAACTGTCCTTTTTGTTATTGTTTATACATATTCCTATTATTATAGTTTAATTATTCAATATTAAACAAAAAAATTAAATCACATAGAGGTAACAGGGGAAAAATCATAAATACATATTGAAGTTGTGAGTTAACAAAATGGCCATTGGAATAAAAAGGTTCTAGAATTGAATCATTTAACAATTTGATGACCTAAATATTTAACCTGCTGCATTTCTGCTGGTATCCAAATGAAACCAATAACCCAGGGACAAAGGGATTTCGATGACAATGACATACCCCAATGCTTAGCCTCCTTCGGGTGACGCCGAGTGACATTCCACTCCCAAATCTTCTTTTCCCGGTTGAACACCTGGCGTTGGCGACGGCGCTCCAGCTTTTCTAGTGCTACTTTTGCTTTTTGGTGTTTTAATGGCCTGAAATTGTTTCAAGAAACATATAAAAAAATACTAAAATTATAATTTTAGTGTAAAACCCCCTTGGCACAATAGGACCCTGAAAAAGGTTAGCCTATAAGTTTTCAGGGTCAATTAGGGAGTTATGAACATATTTTACAAAACGTAAACAAACGGCTGCCCAGCCGTATATGTACGGTTTCACCTAAAACATAAGATTATGTATGTCATAGAGTGTTCTTAGAATTTAAGTGATTGATTAAAATTATTTGTACTTTTTGAATTTTGACTATTCCGCACATCATCCTCGAAACCGAATTTAATTCAACGCGATTTCTTTGCGAGCGTATCCCTCGCGTAGAAGCGGTATTACCGTAGTAGAAACTGAATAAAGTTCCGGACTGAACTTAGCGCAAGTGCTGTTTTCTATAGAAGAAAACAGAATTATAAAAAAAAGGTTGCATTTTTAAGTGTGTCTATTTGTATGAAGGTCATTGAATACTAAAATCACTTGGTGAAAAATATAAAAGTATGAGTGCACGTATAAGAAGCTAGAACATATATTTTCGTATAAATAAAACACTTTTAGCTGTTTAAAACGTAGATAATTTAGTACTGTTTTAAGTACGAAACTTAATCATCTGCAGCAGATGTGTCAGAGGTGGAGGGGGCCGTACTTAAGAAATTGTAAATAGGTCAACACTATCTACGTGTCTTTAACATATGAAAGGGATTTTTAAAGTGACTGTCGTAGTAGAAAAACGGTTTTATACTTTAGAGGGAATTAATAGACCATACATTTGCCACTTTTAATAGTAATAAAAACTAGTAAAATTTAGTTTGGACATCGTATTCGGCCCGCGCCCGAACAACTTTGTTATACTTTGTTATTTGATAATGAGCGTACTTTGTTTAAGAAAATGCTATATATTTAGATGGATATACTTGTTAATCCAAAAGTTTTATTTTATTTATATTTATTAGCAATTTAGGAAATCTTTGAAAATTTCAATTAATAACACCAAATCTATGCTAATGAATGAGTAGTAAAGAGAAAAAGAGAAAAGAACGCAAAGATGGGAGCAAACCGAAGTCTTGACCGGCGCGAACCCGTTAGTACTTGTTTACATGCGCGAAGTGAGAATTTGTTTGAACCAAGTTACTCAGCCGAGTACTCGGTTTAAAAAAACTTTAACCGAGTAAAACTCGGTACTCGTTACTCGGCGCATTTCTAATAATTATTGTTAACATACCTTGAACTGTTCTGGTAGTTGCATAGGGTGATATACACCTCAATTGGTGTGATCTTGGATGCCTTAATCTTATCCTTGTTGGTAAGGAGGGAGCATAAAATAGCTGTTGTAGTGGAATCCTCTGTCAGAAATGCCATATTATGAATACGCTGTATGTTCAAGAGCAGTTGTTGTAAAGTGAACTGAGGCAATATAGCATTCCATACCTAAAACATTATCACATCTAGAAAAAGATCACTTTAAAACTTGTATTAGTTTTAAATACTGTCTGTAGTTTACGCGTGTAGTACACATTTATATAAAACAACGGTTTGAAACGCTATACACATTAGTTATACTTATTTGAAAATTATTTTTAACTACGGCCCGACGCTTTGCAGGAGCCATAGTCACGGGGAGTCTCTCCTTTGGATAAATCATTTTTAAATATGTTTAACTAATATCTATCGTGTTTCAAACCATTTGAGTGTTTTATTTGTATGAGTGTTGTAAACATTTACTAGTTTTAAATACTTTTAAGTAAATATTAGAACATGTTGCACCACTGAAATATGTCTAAATACATATGCAAACATTATGCATTGCATTACAGGTCTTGAGTTCGAATTTTAGGAAAATCTCAACTACTTGTCTGTGATGAATATTGAACCTTTTTCCAGGTTAGTCACTTTTGTGCATCTGTTTCACTCATTATTCTAACTGTAAGTAAAAAAGCTTCCTTGTCTTTTTAGGAAGCTGGTTTTTAACTGCTCTTACTTCTTGTGATATCAAGAGGTGTCCTGGAACATGATCCAAAGTGAACTGATTCTCTTCAATCAAAGCCGCGGCCGCGACTGGATCCTCGCAATGACGAACGTCTTCCACCTTTTGGATATAATCAAATATCGGTTTCGTCATACTCGTCTCTCCCACTATCTGCTTCGTTCGTTTCAAGCCAAATATTGCATACTTTACAATGGCGTCACGTGCTTAAAATTACAACTTAGTTTAAATGCTAGTACATAGTTCTCACAGTATAAATTTTTCAACAATTTTTAATATTATTGGATGTCACTTAATTGTTTTTTGACAGTCTATCATACAGAATGGACATTTTCAAAAATATTTGTTTTTAAAGATTTAACTATCAGAACAACCATTATAAAATTATCTTACCAAAATCATCTCCTGCAATTTTTATGTGGCTTTTTGTCAATAGAATCTTATGTGAGCGGCCATGCCTAGCTTTGACTCTGGTTATTTCTTTAGCAAGCTCCATGGGCTCTTTACTGTTATACCACAATCGCAAATGATTACACCATCCTTGTCCATTACCTACAATATGGATACTTTATACATATAGAATTGAGTTAGATCTACTATGCTTTGTTTCTATAACACATTAAAAAAATTATTAAAAGTATAACTGGCCAGTATTGGTATTAAAGCTAGGTTACCACAGAACACTATTATTTACTTTTTAGATAAAAAGATATTACAACTTTTATACAAAGTACGCATAGATTTTTATAAATTTATTATTCCTTTGGATTGTATTTAAAAACCTAGCTGGATTATTATCAACAAGTAATGTTCAACCTTAACCAGAAAAATCAAAAAGAATTCTAGACCAGAAAAAAGAAAGTTAATACTGAAACCACTGAACTAAAGAATGGTCATAGCTGTTTATTAGATAAACGGCAATAGTCTCACCTGTTTCCAGAAATCTTGTGAATTTATTGAATGCCATCAACTCCTCAGGAGCTTTGCATACAATAGCTGCTGCTTTATAACTTGCCTCCTTAACTGGGTTGGAACCCAATTTTACACATTTGGCTAAAGCAAATGCAATAGTTTCATAACGCGTGTACCAACCATTTTCATAAGCCTGTAATTTTAAATAACAAAATAAATTATTATAATTAAAATAAGACTGTTTCACGTAATAAAACACTTATATGATACATTATGATTTAAGTTAAATGGTTTTAAAGCTTACCTTGACAATTATTTTCACAACCTCGGTGTTGTTAGGCTGAATTCGAAATATTTCACTCAGTACAGGCAGTCCATCTGCTTCAAAATATTTATGACTTGTCCAACATCCAGGATAATATATGGGTTGTTCAGTACCATTATGAAGGTATCTAGTGAATCGGTTTCGTAATTTCGGATCGAGAGCAGTAGACTCCGTCATTTTAGGGCTATTTATTAATTATTTGATGTCGATATTTGAAAATTCGAAAGTACAAAAATATCATCCAGAAGTAGTACGCAGTAAACTGGCCAAGACAGATTGCACCTAAAACAACACTGAAAGATTGTAGAGGTAAATGTACTGCACGGCTAATTTATAAGTTTTTGTCGGAGTTCAAGCGAAACATGTGCCACAATTGTTGAAGATGTGGCTACAAAAAAAACGGACAACGAAGTCGTACAATGAAATCTAATATGGTAGTATGGTAGCAATTAAATTTAAACACAGTTATATATAGCGGAGAATAACAAAAACTATGCTGCAATTATTTGATTTCACGCTAAAATACAGTACATAAATAAAATAATAAATAAATTCGTACCAAAATCGTAATTATAAATTCCAAATACCTGTGACAAGTAAATTCATCCCACAGACTGGTTTGCTCACAGACTAACGAAGTAGATTCATCACAACATGATGACAACATAGATTAAAATAAGCTTACATCATTTTGATCTATGATCATTTCGTCTACCATCTGTGGCACATTTCAATGTCAAATCCACAGATTCATTGCACTTAATGAAAGTGTCCATACTTTGAATAAATCCTTATATTTTAAATAATTCTTTCACATTATTAAATCCCACCGGCCCACAGGCTATCGCTGCTGTAGAAGTTCTTTGTGTTTAAATTATAACTAATGCTAAGTGTTACTTCACACAAATTATTAGTCCTTCTTAGTCAAAACTGAGAACTTAGGAACGGTTTTTTCATTATCATAACTTTTTGGTCAACGCTATAAAATTTAATAAATATGATAGCCGATGTAGAAAAATGGATTGAAATTGCTAAAAGGTGCAAATATCTCCCAGAAGATGATTTACGAGAACTGTGTAATATCGTTTGTGATCTCCTTCTGGAAGAACCCAATGTGCAACCAGTACAGACTCCTGTAACAGTATGTGGAGATATACATGGGCAGGTTTGTCCTTATCATACTTAGACTGTAAGTTTGTTTCAGTGGTTTTTGTAACTAGACTTGGCTTCTGTTTTGTTGGAAAAAATATACATAGCACATAAGAAACCTGAGATATATTAATATAATAATTTTTTTATTCTTTCAGTTTTATGACTTAGAAGAACTTTTCAAAATAGGTGGTCAAATACCTGAAACGCAGTATATATTTATGGGAGACTATGTAGATAGAGGATACTATAGTCTTGAGACACTTACATTATTAATGGCATTTAAAGCTAGATATCCAGATAGGTACATACAATTTGAATTTTAGATTTAAACATATTTCACAAAGCTAGGGCTCAAAACCACCAACAACCAACAGCGTACCATGCTGTTAGTGTTTACCTATTGACAAGGTGGCTAAATTCATAAAGCTCTCATGTGCTAAGTATAACATTTAAATCAGATTGCTTTTATAAAAAATCTTATATTTATAAGCCACATATATTATATAAATTCAGATGTGTCTCTTAATCAAATATTCAAAACTTAAAAAGGAAATGAATCCAAGGTGAAATTTTAGGTGAAGACTATAATTATGAAGATTTTACTTAATGTACAAAATCCAATTTGCATTAAATTTACGTGTTATATTATATGTTGTTATTATACTTTGCATATTTCAGGATTATTCTACTCAGAGGAAACCATGAAACCTGTCAGATAACAAAAGTATATGGGTTTTATGATGAGTGCTTAAATAAATATGGAAATGCCAATGCATGGAAGGATTGTTGCAGGGTGTTTGATCTTCTCACTGTAGCAGCTGTAAGTTCAGGTTTAAATTTTTGCTAAGTGGGGCTTAACTAAATATATTTAAAAACAGTTCCTTTTCAGTTAATTGATGAATCAGTACTTTGTGTTCACGGAGGTTTATCACCAGAAATATCAATGATAGATCAAATACGCTGCATTGATAGAAATCAACAGATACCCCACAAAGGGGCATTTTGCGATTTGCTCTGGTCAGATCCCACAGAGGATGACTTAGAATGGTCAGTATTTAGTTATTTATCAAAACTGTACTGTTTCATTATAATATTAAGTAGTGAAATTATCTGTAACCTTAATAAGTATATTTATTCAGGTCACTAAGTCCTCGTGGTGCCGGATGGCTATTTGGAAGTATTGTGACCGATCTCTTTATGTCCTACAACAATCTAACATTAATATGCAGAGCACATCAACTTGTAAATGAAGGTTCGTATACAAATAAACAAATGGGATCACAATTTTTCCATACTAAAATATAAAGCTGAAGAGTTTGTTTGTATGTTTGAATGCGTTAATCTCAGGAACTACTGGTTCGAATAAAACATCGCGCTATGACTAATAGAAGCGAAGAAATGGGGAAATGTGGAAAAAACAAGTAAAATTATTCACGTCTGTGAGTTTCCGATATGTACACTGCGAAAACAATTCAAGGTACCCAAAAAATAAGTAAGATGAAATGACTCCTCCTTAAATGATCTAAAAATATGTCCGCGGCATTATGTGGCCATCCTCTAAGATTAACTTGCAAGAACGACGGGACGCGACCAATGTCGTGGATAACAAAGCTTAAATTTATAAACATGTGGAGGTTTGCAAAATAAATACGCAGACGAAGTCGCTGACACATCTAGTGCAAAAATAAAATCATTGTTCCAGGTTATAAGTACATGTTTGATAAGAAATTAGTAACCGTCTGGTCTGCTCCAAATTACTGCTATAGATGTGGCAATGTAGCATCCATTATGGAATTCAAGACAGTAGATGATAGAAATGCAAAAATCTTCCATGCAGTACCCAACAGTGAAAGAGAAGTCCCTCCACAACATACAACTCCTTATTTTTTGTAAATTAAGTGCACTGTACTTATAAGTATTCTATTTGTTAAAATTTTATACAGTAAAATGTGTAATATTTACATGATACTAAAAGGTGTTTTTATTTGGAGATATTGCCATATAAAAAAAATATTTCATATGGCTATTTGTTCCCAAAAAACCTATCTGTAGATTGTGTGAGAGGAACTATTTATTGGTAATATTCTGGTATACATCTACATTCTAAGATCACTAATACAATTTGGGTTTCAATCACTTTAATCCTGTGTGACTGCATCTGTAGCTGTGTCATTGGCATTTAGCCAAAGTGGACCTGGATTTGATTTTGGGGAAATGAAAAGTTATTTCAGTCAGGCAAGGTCTAATCAACTTGCATGTGAATTAGTCCTCACATCCTAAAGATGAAAAACAGAATTACTTTACTTTTTGTACATAAAAAAATAAATAACAAATAATTGGTCTTATAAAATTTTTATATTGTAATACTTGTCTTAAGATTGACAAGACCATCATATTTTAGACAGCTTATGAGAATATTGTGACAAATGGAAATGTTATCAATCCCTGTTGTAGTCGAAAGTGTAGTCAAAGTAGGCTTGATCAAAACTCTGTACACGCACATAACCATCTTCTCCTCCAGAGGCATAACTTCTTCCATCAGGGTGGAATGCTAAACTGTTTATTGGCCCAAAGTGACCCTTAACACGGCCAAACTCCTCTTCAAAAACTAGATGGAAGAAACGCGCGTCGAATTTTCCTTGTCTAGTGGATGTTGTTGTTACTTCCATAGCATCTTGACCTCCTCCAAGAACAACATGGTCTAATATCGGACTGAGGGCAGCTGAGTTTACAGGACGCTCAGTTTTGTATTCTTTTAACAACTCCAAGGAGCTAGTATCAAATAACTTAGCAGTTTGGTCCTTAGATGCTGTTATAAACATAGTACCATCTCTAGACAGCTGCATATCATTGATTTGACGAGTATGTTCCTTGATAGAATGGATTTTCTTGCCAGTCTGAAAAAAGTATAAAAATTTATTGAAATATACATACTAGTATTATAATATGCACTTAGACATACTTTCAAAAAGTAGCAAATTTTTGCTAAATAAGTAGTATTAATTCTTACCCTTAAATCCCATTGAATTAAATCACCAGCTTCATGGCCAGTAATGATAGTCTCATCCAGGGAACCCCAAATCATAGAAGTCACTTTTGAGTCTGTAATTTCCCATTTTAGGATTGGTGAGGCAGAGGAGATTGAGTCATCAATTGTTCTGGTGTCAATAATGAAAACCTATAAAATAGATGAACTTTAATTTTAAGTTCATAATGGCAATATTTTTTATGCTGTCTATCATATACATACCTCACAAGGGTGTCCCATAGCTTTATCAGTTGTGTACGCAGCTTGGTATGCACTGTAGCTAAAGTTACATGTTCTTACAGAGGAATTGGTTTTAATGGTAGCTATGTTCTTGCCCGTTTCCAGATCCCATAATCTGTAGTTACAAAAACATTGTATGTTTCAATATATCATCAGTATTATGGTCAATACCTCTGAATAAAAGTACTGATTAAATAATGGTTAGCAGTTTGCTTGTCAAGGTATGCCCATTTATGATAACAACAAAGTTTTATTCAAAACCATATTTAAAATTACCTGCAAGAACTGTCTCCTCCGCCTGTTATGAGGTGTATGCTTTGCCAGTCGACATCCAGGCACCAAACTACACCACCATGTCCATTGAATGTACCCAACCTCTCACCATTCAGTGACCACCACACATTGGGTTTGGCATCTTTAGCAGCAGAGAATAACAGATCTCCTTCGCGGTTATACTTGATTTGTGTTATGGCACGTTCGTGCCCTTGTAACATTAGGGGTTTCTAAAACATAAGTCAATGACGGCATACTTGTAATTTACTAGTTTTACGGGTTAGATGACATCATAAAAAGCGGGAAAAGGACATATTAATATCATTCTTACCATTTTTTTAAGCTTTTTAAAAGATAATATATATTGAACGTGTATACTTTATATTTCATTCACTACATACAACATGTGGCGAATTGATGAAATCCAAGCAAAGCAAATCAAAATGAAAGTTGAAACAAAACTTCAAACACATCTGACAGTTAACAATTTTAACCTGATATGTCAATTGTCACGAAAGAATTTTATGGTCGTCATGAAAAAATTGTAACCTGTGGCAATTCAGTACTTCCATTTCGTGCAGTCATGGTTTAGATAATAATTGTTGGACTTAGTAATCTACATTATTTTATTTGCAGAAAAATAAGCAAAAAAAGTATTTTATAAACTGGTAAACAAAAAGTAAAAAAAAAACTATAGATTAGGTTTGATTAGATAAACTAGATCAAAACCAGGACATAGGTTTCCTTTCCTCCCCTAAGGCTATTTTTCTAACTACTGATTACTTTACTTATTGCTCTAGTTGAAAATTAGGTACACTAGACATTGATGGGATTTAAAAAGCAACAAGACCAAAATATTTCACATACATTTTATTTTCTTAAGTTATTAACCATTGATTTCCAAGAGTACAACTAAAAAACAAATTAAAGTACAAACACGTTTTTGCATTGCTAACTTAACACAACTGTAGGTAACTTCTCTTGGCAAACCAGTACACATGACAACTTCGACTAAACTTCACCCGGCGCACCACCCAAACGAGAGCTCTAAATACGGACATCAAAATCATCTAACAGTCATTTTGTCTTAACTTGGTCGAATTTAATAACAGCCTTTTCCATCGAGAACAATACAGCAATCTAACTAATGTGATTTGCTACAATAAACATAAAGACCCTAAGGTATGTTATTACTTAAAATTAGCTACTTCAGAAAGCGATAAGTCTTGAAATTGAGCGAGCCCAACTAGTCGATACGTAAACAGCACACTCAACCGATGTTGTAGGTTAATCTTTGATCCGAGGCACTTTTTGAGACTGCGTGGTAAAACCGTGGCGTTTCTAAATACTATTTTATGGTGTTGAGAGGTTCTTGCCTTTGAAATAACATGAAAAGCGAACGTGTTTGTGTAAACATAACGAACATGATTTATTCAAACATGGAGTATAACTTGTAGTAATAAATGTATATAATAAACATATAGTACATATATTTCTGTCCATAGAGCTCCTATACTCGTCTGCGACATGTAATTACATACAACAAACACTCGATTAACGTTTCCAAATATATAATATTCTCTTATGCTTTTACAATCCGTTTTTTTTGTAACTATTATAATACAACGTGTAATGTACATAGTTTTAACCCTCCTTTTACCGAAATAAATACATGAAACGCTATTCTTTACACAACAAACTTAACCTAGGATGAAAATATTGTAGTCGCAATATTAATTCGTATGATCCTACGGATTTATGTGAAGGTGTGAAATGCAAGTTTTCGAAACCTATAAATATATTAACATCGTACTCTAAGATTAATTAATTTATCAGTCAAATTATTTTCGCAATAATATCTAGGCAATATTACAATAAGACGACTTCTGTTTTTTTTTCAAATGTGTATTTCAATATAAGAAGTTAGGCTATTATTATCGATATTACATATACCTAAACGTCGCCGTGTATAATACATTAGTTATAATATGTTTAGAAAAATACTAAAATAACGCCGTAAAAACATTTAAGTATTATCTTTCGCTGTGCTGGTCACACAGTATTTATTTTCATTGGCATAAACGTTTTAGTTGTAATTCAAGAAGCAGAAATTATTATTTTCACCACGTACAAAGACTGTTTTTAAATAAGACGAGTCCTAGGAGTTTTCAACGATTAGAGATTAGAGCAACGAAAAGCAGAAAATCTTTACTACTGGTATTTATGTACTTAAAATATAGCCTCGATGGCTTCCCGTGTCCTACTCTAATTAGGTACTCACCAGTAATGCGCCAATTACATCATTATTCGTTACTAATACCACTAATACTATTCTTTGTACAACACCAATAACGTTTTTATAACCTAGCTATTTAATAAACCGTTAGTTCCACCTGAATAAACTATTTCACTAACAAAATAAGTGTCAATTCTTATAATATTAACGAATAAGACGAGCGACGAACGAATCGCGGTTATTCTACTTGTTTGATATCGATTAAAAATCTATAAAAGGCATCTTTACCTCAGACTTTAGATTTTACACCGTCGTGCGTGATGGTGTTTTACGAGCTAATTTTACATTAAGAGTAAATATGAATTGATATATGCGTTGAACAGTGTAGATAAGCCTTTACACGGACAAAATCCAAAGCACCATGTTATGTTGGAGAACTGAGAAATTCACGGTTACGGGCGATTTCGTTAGTTTGCCGCTGTTTCTAATAGACCTAATAATAAAGTAAAGAATGACCCTAGGCATTAAAATGGCAGTAATGTAACTGGTTGTTTCTTAAATATGTACAAAAGTATTACCTAACACTTAATTAATGGTAACACGAGGAACGGACGCGAGTCACTCATTTAGGTAACAGAATTCCCTAATTTAATGTTAACAAACAATTTTATAATTAGCTTATGTATTTTCGATACGAACGATTCTAATGTGAAGTGTATAGGAAACAAAAGTGTGTGGTAATGTTAATAAATGTAAATGAGATGATTTTAATAAATGTAATAAATGTGTGACAACAGGACGAATGGAGTGTTGTTGCTAAAGTTGTTCAAAACCATTCAGCTGTACCAAAATTTTAACCTAGAACCTTAGTCCCTATAACGAACTTTTTGGTTGTAACTTAACTACGCCGGCGTACGTCGCCTATACTATAACTAATGGTAACTGTTCACCGTTGCTGGAACATTTATTACAATAAAGTTAGTAAAGATATCCATTAACAGAGGCAGTGATTATTGACAGTGTCAGTTGTTTTGAAAGTATCCTTAACATATGCGGTACATTAGTGACTAGATGCGCAATTCTTAGCTTCAAAAATGGAAGTCAAAAAACTTTCAGGTTGTGTTCTTTTATAAACGCTGTAGATCATCAACGTCACTATGATCAACCTTCACTAGAAATGTATTGTTGTTGTCTCTTTCCCACACTAATACCAGCAATTATCGTATCAACGTTTTTCATCGCGTCTTTAGTTATTTCGAATCAATACATTGAATGAGACGCAAGCATTAGTTGTCGACTACTTTTGTTAACTAATGTGTTATACATAAGGCATATTGACCAATAGGATCTTATCCGCACTTTGACGCGTGGTTTCGCTGCACGTAGCCTACAGCGCTTACAGAAGGGATGTAATATCCGTCGAAATTTATACACTCAATATAATGTCAAAAATAACTTCGCCCGAGTCACAAATGTCCCGAACTAGAAATACCGGTGTCTAAACTATGAAATACAATGATTATGACTAAGCGTGTGATTTAAAATTATTATACATCCCTACATACAATTATGTACTTATCAGGTGTTTTAATCGTAATTATGATATAATGTATAACGATGAATGAATACTATAATGAAGATATTTTTAGTAAGATGAAATAAATAAATGGATGTATGTTAGTATGAAATATGAACGAAGATTGTTAATGACGAGTTGGCTCTTAAAAATTCTATTATTTCGTAAGCTATATAGCTTAGGAGTCGAAGTGAACAAACCACGCAGTCTGTGTAATATTTTAAATCGTTTCTTTTATTGCAAAAATTATTTCACTGTTGTTTTTCGTGGATGCAAGGCGAATACACCGACGTGCAACGTTTTAAGAAATTATAATCTACCAAAATCATAGCTCGTAACGAGTAGTTTATAGTTGCGATTGAACACAAATTGGGTAGGTCCATTTTGTTATGGATAATTTAAGAAACCAAAACAACATGTTTTAAATAATTTTACGCTGTTAAATAAGCTTTAAAACGGCATAAAGTTCACACAAATGTAATATTAAATATCTTATTCTTGTAAGTGTACTGCAGTTATAAACATATTCGGCTCCAAAAGGAAGTTTTCACAATTTTATGCGAAGTCTTGGCAGTAAAAATGCATAACTTGTGACTAAGTATTAGAATAGAGCGCGACATTGCGCAAGGTTCCTATATAAGTTAGGATTAAACAGTACAGTTGTATACAAGCAGTCTTGGTAAACACTGAGAATAGGTACTTAGTGCTAGTTACATCATGAATAAGTCATACAAAAATTAAATTAATTTTTCCGATAATACACACCCAGTAAAAATAAATCTACTGGTTAAACTCTAGACAATATAAAATGCAAACTAAAACAGCAATATTATTCATGTACAAAGAAACAACTTCTAAAAACAACGACTTACCTAACACTTATCAAAAACTTACACTATATTTACAGGAATATATTATGCGGTTCTCCGATTGACAAATTTAAATAGCAACATAATTATATATATTTTAATCTAATTAACACTAAGTAGTATACACTACCACGTATAAAACACGCATTCAAGTCCCTGGTACTTAATATAACTATTAATCATAAATCAGTCTGTCAATTGGGACGTTATAATTCCTCTTCTCAACAACAAACCACACTTCATAATTACTTATAACGCACCGCACTCAGTTCGCACTATACACGTGAGAATTTGCGAAATGAATCGTCCAAATATTGGTATGGTCTCGCGCCGGCTCGACGGAGAAGCGACGGTAGACGGTCCGTCGGGACGTCTAACACGGGGTCGCCCGAACTCGATGGGTCGTCACGAGCTCTTGCGCTATACCAGCGTTGAACACAGGGTGGTGTGACCGCGACGCCGCGGCTTCATAAGACAGGTGCGCGGCAACGCGAGCGAGGAGTCTGCCGCTCGTACATCGAGAACTACAAACCCTGCTCGGCCATATACTATCTGATTTCAGCTGAATTCAGCACGAACGGCACGTAGAACATTTTGCTTTCTAGTAACAAGTTGGCTGCCGCCTGGATCTGAAAGTGAACGAATTGTTGAGAGTCGAGTCAATAGATCGAGCTTTCTACTTCGAACGAACTTTCTATAACAATTATTTTCAGACAGCGTCTATTAATATCCTTCAGACAATCTTGGAATTAATATGTTCGTGTGTTTTCTAATATATTTTTTGAACTTTATTATTTTTTACATGCTATGCACATGTGGTATTATAACAATAAAATAACTATTTAGATTGTAAACAATATAAATTAAATACCTGAATACTTAAGTGTTGAAGTTAAAATATATTTTGCGAGAGGTGTATGCAAAGGGTTGAAGAGTAAGACACGACAGTTCAATTGGTTAGAGCAATAGCACGGATCGCTGTGGATGCAGGTTCAAGTCCCGCACGTATTTTTTTCCAATCTAAAAACCTAGATTTTTAATTCATATAACATGTTTTGTTACCTCTGGTATCCGGGCAAACAGCTCTTGTAGTCTCCCCGGGTGGTGTGGTGCGGCATGTTCCAAGTAACTCCGTAGCACTTGCACGTAACGATCTTGAATACCCTCTAGTTCCACTTCTGTAAATAAAGAAAATAGAAATGAGAGAAATGTTCGAGATATAACGTCATATATTTAATTTCGAGAATAGTTCCTCTACTCGTCTCTAGATGGCGCTCAAAGACGTAGGAAGACCAATGCCATCGAGCGTGCGGTGCGGTGGTGACGTCACTCGCTCAGTAGGTCACTCCGATAGCAGGGCAACGACCGCGGCTAGCCGTTGACCTCCGCGCAAGCGAGCTCGCGTCCTCACCGACTATATCTGTCTCCCTCGCTCGCGCGCGTTCCAATACGTATTACGTTACTTGCAATATACCGTGTTAAGATCTTTCTTATTTTAAATTTTAGGTACGCAATTCGCTATACGGTAGCGGTGTTAACTGGTTGGTTTCGAATTAAAGCTGACATTTTGTGTCCTTGAAAAAGTTTGTAGCTGAGCGCAATTTTGATTCATTTGTAGAAATGGTTTATTTGATTGATGTATATAATTTGTGGGGCTGTAATTATCGAAGTAGTTTGTCGAGTAGAGTTGGATGTTACGCAAGAACGCGGGAGTTAGCGCTGCTAATCTCCTTTTTTACCGCGGGCAAAAGAGAAAGTTCCCTTCCGCGTCTCGCTTTTCGCTGAGAGTGAAATGCTGTCCCGTTCAACTGACGTAACTTAGCTATTATACGCATTGTGCTGTTCTCTTCGTTACGGTGATAAATCTTGGAAGTGAGATTTATTTTTGTTAAGCACTGCCCTTTATAAAGGCCATTGTTTCCGCTGACACTAGAGATCTAAGCAACTTTCGTTTTTGAAAAAGCACGTGGCGGCTATCTAGCCGCCTATAACATCTGTTATAAAGAACATCTATCTAGCTTTACTTTTTTCTTGGTTAATCTGTTTGTGTATATATTGAATATAGCCACTATAATCGCAGATGGAAATGTTTCGTATGTTTAACTTAGACAAATAGAACATTCGACTCCATAATATTTTTAGCAATAGAATTTACCCTGACTGTTATATACTTATTTTTTTTACTAGAAGTACGCTACTAATAATTGATCTTAACCACTTATAGGAAAGGACGTTTTTTATGTTTACTATGATGGATAGATTTTTACAGCGTTCTCTTGCAAAGGCAAATTTTACCAGGTAATCAAAGTAAGGACAAATCACTAGTTATAATAATTCCAACTACAAGTTTTATGCAATATCGTTCTCATACGTACAATGGCAATACAATTGATATTATAACGCCCAAGCACGAACCATTTTTAAGCATGTGACAAACGACAATAGACGGTTCTACCATAGACTATAGTCTATACCGTGTACAGCTCACTCACACAAGCACAAAATCGTTGCGCAAACGCTTTCCATTTCACCGTAGCGAAGCTCTAGTGGATATGTATGGAATGTTAGATACCGGTACTATTTCAATTTAGGTACATTATTTTATTTATTTATGTATTCTACGTGAATTATAATATGGACACGATTTATTTATACATATGGATATTATAACTACTCATATCTAGCTTTGTATGAAGTTATAATTTTCTTTTTTATATTACTGGCGTAAATGACGTTATATTACGTCTTGTTTTTTAGCTAAATTGGCTTGCCAGTTTGCAAAAAAATATAACCATGCTAGAAAAGATATTCAAATTTGGAATTGCGCTAAAATAAATATGATTATATATTTTTATACTCAATTTTTAGGAAAGCTCTTTACTTTTAATTATAGTAGAAATAAACGAAACTCGGGTACAATATACATTGCGTCTATTTACACACGCCACGTGTTTCTTAATTACAGCAGTTCTTCATAAACACCAATACGCACAAAGCGGAGAAAATAAATTTAAAACAGCCGTGTGTGCGACCTACTTACTGCGTCGATAATGTAGGATGTCACAGTTTGCGCTGGGAATGTGCGTTGTATTATCAGAAAACTATTTCTCTTTTCACGGTCTAATAATTTTTCACTAACCAAATGTACCGCGGTTTATTTCGCTAATTCCAGAACGCTATTCAAATAAGCCTTCGTATAATTCACAATAGCAGTTTAGTAGCAAATAAGATGAATATAACAGCGAGTTACGCTATAAGACACAGCGCCATCTATATTTCGTTTAAAGAAGTGAATGTAATGCGCCGTAAGTGGGTTACTTATTCCATAAATCATAATCATCTTAACAGACGGAGCTCGTGTTTTATCTGTCCGTCGAAATTCGATGAAGAAATAACTACAAACAAATGCTCTATTCAATAAAGCAAAAGACATGTTTACGCACTTTTAGCTCTCAGAGATTTAAATTGCTTATTTCATGCGTTTAGGCAAGAGAAGGTTTTAACTGTTTTTAGTCTAAATACTGTCTATAGTTTACGCGAGTAGTACACATTTCAATAAAATATTTTAACGGTTTAAAACGCGATATATTAGTTAAACTGATTTGAAAATGATTTTTAACTTCGGCCCGACGTTTCGGATGCTTTGCCACGGCTGCTGCAAAGCATCCGAATTAAAAATCAGTTTAACTAATATATCGCGTTTTAAACCGTTTAAAAGTGTTTTATTTAAATGTTTTTAGTCTACTCAAGAAATAAAAATTAAATATTTATAGTTATAGCAAATTTCCGTTTCCTTTTTGCACTGAAACTACCTTCCCGGGATCAAACCCGGAACTTATTAATTCTAGCCTACGTGATTAAGCATAAACCGCGAAGGTATGCATTGATTATACTTAAATTAAACGTACATATCCCCCGTACCCAGGTCTGCATAAGAAGCGAGTATGAATTTTGTTAAAATAAATTTATTTTAATTCAAAGGCGACAATATTATTCTCAATTAATAACCTTTTTATTTCGAAAATAACGCAATAACGCGTGGGACTTGGTGAAGACAGATTACTGTGTGCGTACTGTCTGGTGATTCGTTAATTCTGTGAGCAGCAATAATTTATCTTACTAGAAGATTTCCTTGTCTATAAATATACGCGGTAAACGTATCGACTGCTCGTCAGGCGGGTACAGAGTATATGAGTCAACATCATAGGACGCCTAGCTCGTAACTGACCTACATTAACTCTGGGTTGATGCACCCCTACTCTATAAGTGGATTACTGCCGCGTAAGTACTTATGTGCAAGTACGCGTTGATTATGCGACCTTTTCCGTTAAACTTTACACAAGAACAAAACATATATTTTCGAGTTAAAGTGCACGTGTTAAAGTTGAAATCACATTGCGCGAGAGGTGCATGTATCAATAAGTTGAAAAAATTCGACGACGAGGTGTAGGACTCGGTAGCTCAATCGGTAGAGCAACAGCACGGAACGCTGACGATGCCGGTTCAAGTCCTGCCCGAGTCGAAAATTTTTTCAATTTATTTTCGATTTTTGAATATATTTTCAATGCAATCTATTAATGACCCATGGTACAGGATCGACTACCAAAACTATACAAATATTATAAAGCTGAAGAGTTTGTTTGTTTGAACGCACTAATCTCAGGAACAACTGGTTCGAATTGAACAATTTTGTGTTGGTTAGAGCACTTATTGAGGAAGGCCTTGGCTATAAAACACGCTGCGACCAATAGGAGCAAAAAACAGTGATGTGTGCGAATGTGTGTGTGAAACGGGGAAAATGATCTATCTTTGAGGGTTACTGAAAGAATATTTATGAAAGAATGATTTCTCTTTTAATTATCTCAAAATGTCCGCGACGCTATATGTCTATATTGTAAGATTAGCTCGCAAGAATGACGGGACGGGGACGATGTCGCGGGTTACCACCAAAAATTTATAAAGATAAGGTGGTTTGCAAAAACAAATTATAATGCCTAAATTAACTATTTTACGCGAATGAATGAACGTCGCGACCGCATCTAGATAAAGATAAAGATATTTACTCCGACTGGACTGCAATCTTTTAGATTTTACGTTGATTCTAAACTTAAATAATTTGAAATAAGAACAGGATTTGTTATATTGTCATTTTAATCGAGTAATAAAAAAAATTATACAACTTACCTTGATTTAATAATATGTAGACCTTTAAGCAGACATACTCCTCCATTCGAAGCTGAATGCGCCTAAAGACGCAGGTGATCTGGGTCATCTTTTCAACCACCAAGCCGACGTCAAGTCGTAGCTGTTCTAGGGTTATAGGTCGTCCCATTAGCGATGTTAGGCAATTTTGTAACGTCCTCAAATTCGCGTTGACCTGAAAATGTTCATATTTTTAAAACAAATTCGAAATTCATATATAATACACATGTTAAAGTATTTTTGTTTAATTTATCAACACATAATTGCACAAAACAAAAGAACACAAATACAAACGAAACTTAATTAATTTTAACAGAAAGACGAACTTTATATCTCGTATAAATAAACATATTTGAATCAATTTATTTGTACGTAAAAACTAATAATTCGTTGTAAATTTACAAAGTTGTTTTAAGTTGAACATGTACTAATACATTAAATAAAACACTTTAACGGTTTAAAATGCGATATACATCAGTTAAACTTATTTGAAAGTTATTTTAACTACAGCCCGACGTTTCGGATGCTTTGCAGCAGCCGTGGTCACGGGGAGACGCAGTCATAGTTAAAGTATTTTTCAAATAAGTTTATTATATTTTAAGTATAAAGTGTTTTGTTAAAATGTGTACTACTCGCGTAAACAAAGACAGCATTTATCGAATGCTGCGTTTAATGAATTTAGTAGTTATATTTTTAACTATTTATTGAGAAATTAAATTTTAATGAAAGGGAAAAATTTATGTTCTTAACGGTAATTGAAATATTTCAATGTAGAACAATGAAGTTATTAACAACGGTCTCATGTTGAACGCATTGTGAACGTCTCATTAGTGGTTCACGTAATGTAAGACATAACCGAATAGGAAATGCACTAGACAATGAAAACAGTTTTTGTGTAACTACCGCCACAACTGATGCGTTTTATGTAATCTCTGCTATTACTATTATAATAGGTTTCCAATTTTCTAATATATGCTAAATGTTGTATTGAAATATAAATTGACGTACTAGATTTATTTACCCTTATATATCGTTAAAAAGGCTAGGGTTTACTAACAGGCTATTATCTACTAACTATTATCTATATATATACTAATTTATTATCCTGGGTTTGTATCTCGGAGAAACAATGATATTTTTGACCTAGTGGAATAGAGGTTTGTTCAACTACTGTGAAGAAAGAAGACAGAACACAGAATTGAAATATACAAGAAATGTGATTACTTTTTGTCAATATATAACTTCAATTATATCAGCGTTCTGGGCTTTCTTTCTAAGTGACAGTTACAAATTAGGTACAAGTACTAAGAATCTCTATGTCATTACGGGTCGCTGTTAAAGTTCGCGTGGTAGTTCTATTTCTATTCCGCCTAAGTACTTTGCCTTGTGACTTAGATCGGGTTCTGCATCTGCACGAACAGAGTGCAGTTGAGACGACTTTCTATCGGTTATGCAACGATGCAAATCATGTAACAGCGCCTGCGCATATAACGGAAGTGTATAGCGAATGTGACCGCTCGATTACCACTCGACTGAAGCTAGTTACCGAGATTGCAATAACATTATATCGAAGTCTATCGCCGGTGCTATATATGGCAGCAATTTAGAAAGTAACTATTTCATACTAAACTAGGTTTTAAGGAAAATCATAGTAAACTTACGCGGTCTTAATATTATATGTAAGAAGTGTATGGATATATGTTACTTTTACCCTCAAATGGTTTGAATAGTTTTTAAAAGATTTGTGGATCCAAAAACATACTAATTTTGTTAGATGCATCAAGAAATTTCAATTATTAAAAGGTCTTTACTGTCAATCTCCTGTAAGCAAAGGTTGCCTGGAAGAAATCGGCATAGGCCGCCTTTACACTAACTTTTATGTTTTTTTTTATCGTTTATGCAATAAAGTGTGTTATTTAATAATAACATACTAATAATATTACATTTCTGATGAATTGAGTGGACTTAATGATTCATAAGCAGAAACCACTTACCTCCTGCATAAAATCATGCTCGTGGTCGGAAGATGGCGGCGCATGCGCCAATTTCCCGTGCATCGCTTGATATGCCGCTGTCGTCAGTACTGAGATCTCGTGCCACTTTTCCATCAGCAGTTTCGAATGTATTTCCATAGGAATTTCCATTATGAACGGTAACTTCTTCGTCCACGCCACCATCTTGTGGACAATGGAGTCTCCGATCTTACATAGCTTATCACCTATTTCCGACGTGTCATGGAGGAGATCAGGTAAATGGCGGACAGTCGCGATGTCTTCCATGGCGTCGCAGTCGATCAACGCTCTGATCATGTGCAATGCTCTGTCTAGAGGTATCGCTCTATCCCTCGAAGACGACACAGCACTCTCCAGTCTTGCTCTCAAATGGACAACCTAAGGGAGAAGGAAGTTCGTGAATTAAAGGAGCTTTGTATTTCTCTAAAAGGGAATAACTGCTCGATATGGAGCGACTTACCTCGCTGGGGTTTGTTAAAGCAGTCTTAAGTATGGTCCCGTTAACGAGGTTCGGTGGGAGGGGCGGTAAAGGATCCTTGGGCTTTTCTGGAGGCGAAGGCCTACTAGTCGCTGTTGAGGTTTTAGGCTTCTTACTCTTCTTGTATTTGACTTTATATAAGTTGTACACTGCACCGCTATTCCGGCCACCGGGCATGCGGTCTTCTCGAACGGCTGTAAGCAGTTTTGACATTAGATACTAATCGCTAAACAATATGAGCAACAGCACGGAACGCTGACGATGCCGGTTCAAGTCTTGCCCGAGTCGAAAATTTTTATATATATTTTTATATGATAAATGAAACATTTAATAATAGTATTAATATGTTACCTTGTAAAACCATTCCTTGTTCTATACATTTCTTAAATCGACAATATTGACATCTATTTCTTTGCGCTTTTGTTATTTCACAGCCACCGTCAGCTACACACGTGTACACTCGCCGATTCTGTACAGTTCTTTTGAAGAAACCCTTGCAACCTTCACAAGTAATAATACCGTAGTGAAGACCTGTCGCTTTGTCTTCACAGATCATACAAATCATCGGTTGCTCGTCATCATCACGTTCTGCCTCAGGTGCGTATGTCCTTAGTTCAGGACGTGACGCTAAAGGGCTCGAGCTGGGTACATTTGAAATACCCGAAACTCCACCTGCTGCGGCACTCAGGTTAAGGGCGTGTATTTGTTGGTGAGCTGGAAGCTGAGAAACGTCACCAGCCCATAATAGCTCCATATTCAGTCTTGGTCCTTGCGTTCGCCTCAATTCACCTCCCAGATTTAGCAGTAAACGAGCTGCAGACTCTTCACTACAGGTGTTAGGATCAGACGCGGGTGGCGTTGGGGTATGTGAAGCTCCAGGGGACGGTTCTCCACCAGAGGTAGGAGCAGGCAGGGTCCAAAACATAGTCCGTACTCCACCCGATTCGCCCATAATGACAGCGGGGGCTCCTCTCCATTGTGTTGAACTCCTGGCGCCTTTGGGTTCTAAGGGTTGGGGTGGGAAATGACCGCCGATAAGTTCAGGCTTAACTCCGTTAATACAGGCAGCCGTAGGCCAATGATTTGGCGATAAAGAAGCATGTGGACTTGGAGGTGGTGGCGCGAGGGCACGGGGTCGGTAGGGTTGCGGGAGGTCCGGGGGTGGCCCTTCTAATTTTACAGATGAATATTGGAAGGATGGTGAAGAGTCGTGCTTCGCAGTAGACGTTTCAATTTTAATGGGCGCGGGTGCACCTTCGAACTTGATGACGGAGTTAGGTGGGGCGGAACGGATGACGGTAGGATGGCAAGCGGCAGGAGACGGCGAAGGCGAACCACCGCCGTCGAACACGGGCGGCGGATGCGGCGGCGTGCTGCAGCCGGCCTCGGCCATGCGCGGCGACGGCGGACCCGGGTCGGGCGACGACGTGCTGGTATCGGCTGCCGACTCGCCTGCGAACACACGAGGCACGATCAACAATAGACTTGCTATTATGGACACTTCTAAAGAAATGATAAATAGAAACTAGGTGAAATGTGAACGACCGCGCGGCGTTCGCAGTTTAGAAGGTGCGGGGTGAGACGCGGGGGCGCGACACTGCACTTCCCGCTGCTGACTAGATTAGCCGGTTGCGTCACTGTGTGAATACTGGCCCCGGCTACACAGAAAACTAATCTAACTAATGAAATCCCCGGCTAAAGCTATCTTACGTACCCTCCATTTGACTACCTGTATATTCTTTAATTGATAACGTTAAATAATATATACTTATAAGATTATACAACAATGCGGAATACGGAAAATATGGAAAATTTATTGAAAATATAGGAAGCGTGGCCGCACGTTGCAGTGAACGAACGCGAGATGCGGCGTCGAGCGCGAAGAGAAAGTGAAAGCAGCGCGCGCGCAGATGCGGAGCCCGGAAGCTTTGCGTTCGCGCGCTATTCTACTCACAAAGGGCTACGTGAAAACAATCAACAATGAAACGTAGTTAATAAGTTATTAATCTGTAATCTAAATCTTGCATATTTTTTCATTATCTGTTATTTACTATAAGATGTAAACAAAAATAGGAATATATAAAATTTTATACAAAAAAAGAATTGAAATAAAAAGCTAATTACCAAAATAAATGACACTAGCAACTTTACCGACTTTTTACTACATCCATAGGCGTCGTTTACCCTTCGCATTTACATATCACACGTATAAACGGCTTCGCGTCCGACCGGCGTCATACTAGCGCGTGCGAAAAACTCGGTTCTGTTTACGCGTGGAAAAGTGAAGAAAGTTTTCCAGCGCGGAGTACGGGCGGCGGGCGAGCAATGAGCCCGACCTACCGCAAGAGCGGAGGCCTCCCTCCCCGCAAGGCTCCCGGTCCCCTCCAGCAACTACTAGGTCACTCAGACGGCCGTGCGTGCGAAGTGCAACCGCACAATGACTAGTGCAACGCGTGTAGCGCTCTCGCTTCGAGGACGATCTCTATTTCACTCAGCGTCCTTTGCCACATCACTGGTGGGGACCGATCTTTCTAGCCGCGTGATGCAATCTAAGGTCCCAACTCCTAGGCGTAGATAAACTCATATTACAGTTATTAGGTATATTGGTTACTCCGGATTGCTAATACTCGGCAGTGCTAACGACGCCATGATTGAATTGAACTTTGGTTCGCGTTTGCGTGAACTCTTATTCAACGTACATATTATATTTAATTAGGTAAGATTTGAAAGCAATCTATGAAGGTAGATTGAAATTAATGAGACGATTTTCAACCTATTAGGGTGTCCAGGATTCGATTCCCACCAGGTTGAATATGTTTCTGAATCTATTTTATATTTAAAATCAAGAAGGAAATTTAATTTATAGATGTTCAGTCTGTAGATTTCGGAAGTAAAACAGGGCGCCAGAGCATCTTAATTGGATTTTATATGGCTAGGATATATAAACTGAAGTGAAACCTATGCTGATCTCTATACTGTCCTCCTCTGTCAGAATGAATGAACGAAATTGATATACAAAAAGGGAACAGAAATAAGAGATTACGTAACGTCTATTTTGCGAGCGAAGGTCGGTCGCGGTCATCAACCGAGAGAAAGTAGGTCAGTCCTACCCCCCGATGTTCCACCCCTGCCACGCCACGTGTCGCTGCTCTGGGCCAGCCCATCGGCCCTTATTCAATCTATTTATAGCGTTACATAATCTTATGTACTTTTATGTCACTCGTGGCGTCTCCTATGTTGAGTATTGATAAGAAGCCCTTGTGTTTTTATATATGTATAACATATTTGTTTTGTGAAACTTTAAAAAAAAAATATTTTAACTACGAGTCTCCCCGTGCATCAGAAATGTCGGGCCAAGTAATTTTCAAATAACTAATATAGATCGCGTTTTAAACCGTTTTATTCAAATGTGTACTACTTGCGTAAACTACAAACAATATGTTTATTTTGATTTTAGTTTGCATACTACTTAAACTGCTCTATTTATCAAATTCTGAAACACTTAAGATGCGGTTGTATTATATATTACTTAGACACGAGTAGAAAGAGTTCAAATACCCTCATTCTTTAATACTAACACATAATATACAACATAAGTGATATTGTTACTAGCATTTTAAAACTATTATTAGTTTTTAAAATGGATTGATGGACCGATAAATAAATATGTAATTATTTTTATTGTTGATAACCGCATCTGTAGCTAAATGGTTAAATGTTGCCTAGCACTGCGTTAAGCGCGAAAGATCCTGGGTTAAAAAATCGGGGAAATAATAAATTGTTTTCGTCTGGCAGGGCACAGAAGTCTGTAAAACAAACTGCCCGTAAAAAAAGCGTTTAATGAAACAGATATAGAAATGTGTTTCCCCCATGCCCCACAGAGGAAAATTAGATCTCTTAAATATTAATAAAAATATCATTGTTATTTATGTTCGTAAACAAATATTTAATACTTGCGTGAACAGATTTACAATAAAGCATATAGCTAAATACTGTCTATAGTTTACGCGAGTAGTACACATTTAAATAAAACACTTTAACGGTTTAAAACGCGATATATTAGTTAAACTTATTTGAAAATTATTTTAAACTCCGGCTCGACGTTTCGGATGCTTTGCAGCAGCCGTGGTCACGGGGAGACGTAACCACGTAAATAATTTTCAAATAAGTTTAACTAATATATCGCGTTTTAAACCGTTAAAGTGTTTTATTTAAAAGTATATAGCTGTATCTTGTAAATAAATAATGTTTACGCAAAAAACAACGTCGAAACCGAAATGTATGACCCAGCAGTAGTTAAGACTGAAGAATAAATACGAAAGTTATATAAAAAGTTATATAAACTCATTAAATCATATCTTAAACACAAGAGACGAGAATTCGTTAAAGTCAAGAGCAACGCAAAAGTTAGCGATCAGTGATGCAGATTAATTAACGAGGCGTGTTATTTGCACGTGAAGTCCCGTTTATCTTGGTATACGCTGGCACGCAAGGGGTGCGTCACCACGCAACGAGTATCTGCGCGGGCGTCACAGAACGTCACACCCTCCGAGCGTGCTCGCTCTGTAAACAGTCAACGTCATTTCGTCTGTACATAAAGACGCGTTATTCTTAGTACAGTTTTGTAAATTCGAATTTTAAAAATGACCACGCCCTCTTTTGCCCATTAAACAAAGACGCAACTTTTTATATTTCAGTGATAATATACGCGATTTTTTTTTTGCAAATCATGACTTTTTTTATAGATTTACTCGTTATTATTTTATTCAGGACACAAGTAAGATCTAAATATGTTTTAATTGATAGAGGAGGACAGACAGATACGGGATATACTTGATGGTAGGTGATATACCCCAGCCTATACTAGCATCTAAACAAGATGCGCTGTCGACCCATTTTTGGCTTTGGATATTCGGAAATCCACAGACTGAAACCAGAACGCGATTAGGCTTCACGGCTTTTTCATCTGACGAGGGTTCGTGACCCGGACGGAATTTCTGTATTCCTACCAACCATTTAATATCCAGGATTCTAGGCGAAGTCCAGCATGTTTAAGAAAAAATATAAATTGAAAAATAGTGTTAGATCTGGTGGGATCCAACCCACGAGCCATTGATCATCAGCCAAATATGGCAACCATTAGACCAACAAGCCCGCCAAATATTTTCACTAAAACGTGTTAGTATAGTACTTGCTATAGCTACATAAAAGACGAAAAAAGCGAGGCAATCAATCCGATGACTAACATCACATCACACTAGTCATCTTAAAATTCAGTGTTAAGCGGGCCAAATGTTACGTGGTATGACAATGAACGTCTTTCTCTCTTGCATTATTCATTAGGTCACGTTGTTTCAATTACAGCGCGATGAATACTTTCTTTTTAGTATAAAATAACCGGATAAACACCACCGTGGCTTAAAGATTTCAACGCGGGAAGCGCGAGAGGTTTGCATCGATTTTGCTATAATGAAATCCCGTTTCTACCCTGGGGCATGGGGCAGACACAATTCTGTGTATTTTTCAGTGACCGGTTATTTTACAAGTAGATAGTAGTTTGATTCCCTGCGTTTCAAACCCAGGTCATATACCCTGCAGATACTTTTTTTTGAAATTGGAACTTAGGACCGATCGCGCTACACTAGACATTGCGTGTAACTATGAAGGCACAGATGCACAATGTAAATAAAGTAATTAAAAGAGTTTTTGGCGTATAGTTATTGCTTGAATCTGTTTTCTAATAGTTATTACGACTTATGACGAATGTTACGACCCGACATTGGAGACCCGTTGAACCGGATTCTGTTTCGGCAGATTATTTCATGCATCGAGTGAAAGTTTTCACATCTAATCACTCGAACTTTTTGGCGCGTCACGATAATTATTGAAAATTTCCTCAGACTTCCGAGTTCGTATACCATAATTGAATGAAATTATTTGTGAGATAGTTTTATATTACAAGTAATTTATAATTAAAATAATGATTTTGGAATGTAATATCCATTTCTATAAATAGCTGTTATACTATTAATTTTAAATATAACATATATGCCATAGTATTAAATTTAAATAATAAAAATAAACATATGGTTTCGGAAAAACATCGCAGTGACATTGAATTTTAATTATTATCATCACATTTCCTACTTTAAAACGTGTTAGTATTCATAATGTAACTGCGTTTAATTTTTTTTGTGACATTGAAAAAAAGTTTGCATATTGGCACATTGAATATGAAACAGACAAAAAACACTTTGTTTAAATTTTGAAAATGGAACGCACGAAAAATTTTAAAAATTAATTATTATACCAAAGAGTTTTAGAGAAAAAGGTTGTCGATGATCACATTAGTATTACGTGGAAATGAAAACGAAATTACAGTAACGGATCGAATTTACTATAGCATTCGAAAGTGAGTAGTGTCCGTGAGCGGGGTACGTAGCAGCAGCGAAGATATCTCCGGAATAACAATACGAGCCGTTCCTGACCTTCCATTGCATACACGCTAATCGAGTCATTGGGATGTGCATTTAATTATATAGCTATTTAAATATCTTCCATATTTTCGTTCCTTCGCGTCTATCATCTTAGCGATGTGTATAATTATTTTTCTTACAATATAGTAATAGATGTTGTTATAATCTTTAAAATATATGTATGTGAATAAATCAATTTATATCGCCATGGAGGGATAAATAACGACAAAATTTCGAAACCTTGTATGTGAATCTTAAGACGTCCATTTTGATTTGATTGTACTATATTTAATATTCGTATTTGACAGTCTACTAACTCTTTTACGATTTCACAAAACAATAATCAATTACATTTCTTAAAATTCACATGCTAGATTCTAAGACAATTTAATTATTAAACTTACCATCGCTACTACATCGGGAGTCAACTTTCCGCCTCTTTAGTTTGAGGTCTTGGAACAGACTCATGTTGTCGAGGTCACACGGGCCGCGGCTGAGTGTCATTATTCCTGTAGACAAAGACAACATAGAGTTAATAAAAAAGTTCTTATGCTCCACGACCTATAAAATAGTTTTATATAAAACTTCTTTAATTGTCAAACAAATAATTATTTTTTTTTAAGAACGAAGTTGTTCTATAAAAAAGAGTCCTATTTTCAAAAAATAGAACGCATTAAATTTAAAACTAAGATAGTGTTTTTTATGAGTGTTTGTGTTCTATCTGTTTAATATATACTTATCCAATAGACTTACTAGAAAGTGTATTATTGTTTTTTATTTGTCTTCATTTGAAGGAAAACTGCGATACTACAGTATTATTGTGAGAATAAAATACCACCATAGAAATCAAATTGTTTTATACGCTATGTTTTGACGTTGGCATAATATAGTTAACATTTCACATGCAAATTCTTAAGAATTTATCAGATATGGAGACGTAAAACGCGTTAAGAATTGTATAGACGGTTTAATCGGTCATACGTCACTGCTACGAAACGCAATAAGTTCGTCATACGCCATAAAAATGTGCGCGTACACAATTACAGAAAATGCTTGACTTTGGTGTTATTTTGTCGCTTTGTTTGTTACTTTTTCTTTATTAATAAAGTAACTTAACTTCAAATTTCGATCATACTATAGATTAATAAATTGGTTCGAATTCAATAAACCCAAATGATTGTTGGTGGATCATTCTGATGTCTCAACACGGTCTTGAGCCTCCCGCCTGTCCCATACATTTATTTTCTGTTAATTTAATTATTTATTATATTTATAGTATCCATATTTAGTTTGAATATATGTGCTGAAGTGTTATTCGTCGTTCACTCACTTAAAATTCGATATAAGGTTGAAAAAACTTTTTCAAATTTAAACACTGTATTTATTCTTGAAGAAAAATGACACTTATTGTCCTATATATAGAAATTTATATTCTTTTATACATTTAAGTTTTTAAATTGCGTCTTTCCGCGTCTTTTATATTAACAAAAGAGACATCAACACCATTACTAGACTAAAAAAAACTTTCAAAGTATTGTTTGTAGTTACGAGTAGTACACATCAAAATAAAACACTTTTAACGGGTTAAAACGCGATGTATATATATTATTGAGGTCATTGCTTTGGTCCCCTCGTGACCACGGTGGCTGCAAAGTACGATATTTCGCGTTTAAAACCGTTGAAAGTGTTTTATTTAACGAGTATTTCTCATGAATAAATTGTTACTTCGATCAGAGTCTGTGAGTTACTGGCCTTAAAGATAGTAATTACATATATATATGTGGAGTACCGTCATAACTGACGCCAGAGGAGAATATATTTACGTAGAAAGCTTACGTTGACTGATATGAATCATTCTTTCTCGTCACAATTTTACTATCAAAAGATTTTATGTCGTTATCGTATGCGGAGAAATGTGAATAGCAACAGCATGTTTACTTTGCAATGGTATTGACGTATTTTCGTTTAAATTGAGATAATATTAAATCGAAATAATGTTGGAATTTAATTGAGTAACTAAGGACAAATAGGAAAGCTATAAGTTTGTGGGTAGACCAATTTATACTACTGCAGACACATAAATGTATCGTTGTAATTTACTGATTATTCTGTGTCTTTTACGACCGAAACTGTATTGGTATCCGTTGCTAAAATTGCAGGATCATTTGCGCTTAGGAATTCCAGGCAGTGGATTTCAATTTAGGATTCTGGGAGCGGGACCTACTTTACCAAAACGACGAATTAAAAAATCATACATTTTTTTGGAAATCTCTTATGGCTACACTAAAAATTTTAATTTTCATTATTTTATAAATAATAGAAATTATACAATTGATTATTCTCAACCATCTTTATCTGCAAAAAGATATATTCATAGATTGATAAAAATTCCTTAGCATATCTTGTTTGCGTTTTCTTGTCTTGGACCATTATCAAAACAAATCCGATCAAGTCAAAGACCTTGATAATGTCGTGAATGAAGCAAATAAAATGTCTGCAACGGAGAGCGTCGCGACTTCTACGACGATACTTCAGTTAAGGTCAACTTAGACTTCCGTAACACTTGAGCATATAGGAAACAGTTGACGATTATACCCACTGTACTTCTTTATTCTAAATAATTTAAATTTAATAAAATCTATATTTAAACATATCGCAATACAAAATCAACTTTAGTGGAAATATTTAAAATTCGATTACCAAAAGAATTCTATTTTTAAATTGTGTATCTAAATTCAACTTTTTCGTAATCTAAGATAAACTTTTTTGTTTCGCACCACGGGCTATCGCACCTAGTTAGTGTATAACGACCTTTCAGATGGGGTCAAAGTTTCGGCCGGGCTAATTCCGATTGTTTACACACTCACTTAGTCAAGCGAGTTATTAGTATACGTCACGTAAAATAGTGCGTTAATAAACTCTAAAAAGTCTTTGAACCATTTGAATATGTCGAATATCTAAATGTAAAAACTGGGAAATCTTAAAAAAATTACTTTGAAAGGACTATACTTCGTTCATACTAAGACTAGTTTTGAAGCGATTTCTTACTTGAAATTACCCGAATTCCATATTGATATCTATATTTTTATGATTTTAACCCCTATGATGCCATCATTAATAGTTTCTCATTGATGAGCCCTAAAATGTTTGTGATATTTATTTTGGTATAACACTTTCTTAGTAAATAAAAAATATTCGACGGGCTCGTGGGTGTAACGGTAGCAATGTTTATCTAATAATCAACGGGTTATTCGATCCCCAAGGGATCAAACATTTTTTTAATTAATTTATAATATTCAGAAACATGTTAGACTTTTTGAAAATCGGAATATTAAATAGGTGGCGGGACTATCGTAATTCCGCCCAGGTCGCAAACCATCGATGAAAAATTCGTCGAGTTTAATCGCGCTGCGGTTTCAGTTGTAGGTTTCCCAATAAAGCCAAAACAGCGCCAGCGCATCTTGTTTAGATATTATATGGCTACGGTATTTCATCTACCATTAAGTGAATTCCATGCTCGTCTGTCTTCCCTCTATCATGATAAAATGTATTCTTTAGTAACTTCGACGTTTACATATCCTTGAAGGCGATATAAATTCATGACATGAAGTTCATCTCGGCGGTCAGTGGTGACTTAAGTCGGAAGTGTTCCGGTCACAAAGTCACTGCCGATGCGAGGCCGCCCACATGTTTCGGTGACAAATATTTAAACAAGCTCGACCTGAACCTTGCGAGCTTCTTGTTCTATATTTGTCAAGTAAAATGCTATATTACGATATCAGAGGTTCTAGAAGGCGGTTTATTCGAGTCACATTTAAACGCCGTGACTATGAAGCTTTTGAAACATCGGGCCGTAATTTAAATAACTATAACTATTATATTTCGCGTTTGAAACCGTTAAAGTGTTTTCTTTAAATACATACAAAACTTGTCAATAATTTCAATATCAATAACTTTAAGTTATATTATGTATTATCAACCTTACAAGAATAAGTTACAAGACTCGTTCGCTCACATTTACTGTTTTATTTTGGTTTATAGGCTTCTTGCGTATATGCCTCTCAAATGCTTTTCTTCTTTTATTGATTTTGAAAACTCATTGTGTATGAACATTATTTCTAAAAAGGTCTATATATATAATATATAGTTTTGATCGTCTCGACTTACCTAAAGTAATTATTCGTATTATTGTACTTTTTTTAATAAGGTTAAGTTAGAGAGCATTGTTTGGACTTGTACAGCATATCTAACGCAATGAGAATAATATTATTATCTCGATCAGGATTTGTACGTGTCTTAGCCTTCGTTTCTCTATGCCTTGACATTAAGAGTGGCACGACCGAGCGTTCCATTTTAAAACCTCTAGTTACTTCCGATTTAGTGACTTCCTGCATAATGAATTATAACAGAAAAACGCATTGAAGTCCAAGATATATTCATATAAAATATAAATTTCTCTAAATAGAATAAAGTAGATTGAATTAGAACACAATTTGTAAATTTAAATTTAAAAAAAATGAATTACTACAAGATAACAATTAGTTACATTCTGACGTGTAAACTGTAAATTATATTTTGTTCTATATTTAAAATTTGTCTTAATTGTTCTTTTATAATATCTAATGTTTCAGTATAAGATGTTGTACATCTTGAACTTACGGAATAATTGAACGAACAATATATTTGTTAGCGAAATTATTCTTTCAACCGAACACAGCCATCCTCCCACTACAATGTTTTGAAAGGAAGCAGTGACATTCAGTACCTTTTCGCTTTCACCGCATTGGAAAGTGAGCGTAAAAAACGCATTTTGGCAACGACAAAACGATGAGGTCATTGATCCCATCAAATCATAGACAAAGGGCAGCTTTTTAACAATATTAACGGCCTGGTAACGAGACTTTTTAGCCAAATCTTATATCGAGAAGTACCTTTTTAAGCGTAGATTGTATTCTTGTTTAGCCATATATTGTTGGTTGCCGCCAAAAATATGCTTAAAGGGCAACCATAATAGTGTTGTTAGAGACGATAGATTAAAACAATTCGTGATCTATGAGACGATTTGAAAATGTCACGGTGAACCCAAAAAGTTTTGCAACTAACCGATTCGGTTATTTCTAAATAGATTAATCTCAAATAACAGGTAGTAATAAAAAGAACTATTTATTTTAATATCCATAATAACTTTACAATTTCCTCAGTTATGAATTTTAATAAGGCAAAATGTAGTTTTATTTATAGCTATTTATTAGTATATATTATATAGTATAAGTTATTTATGACTTATGTAAAACAATATATATTTAAATTACAAACAAAGGACTCTATGTTTATCTTTACTCTTCTCTCCTTTATGAGAGTAAAGTTCAAAAAATTAAATAGTTCTATATTATCGCTATACATTTTGCAACGATTGACTTTGTTCATACAAACAAAACGTAATATCGAAACATGAGAATATTTTATTAATTATTAAGTGGATGTAAGGTGTGTTAATTTTTTGATGTTTATTTGTTCAGGTATATAAAACTATTCCTGTTTTAATAAACGAATTGAAATAATAATAACTTTTATTTTGCATATTATCTTTATATATATATATATATATATATATATATTGCATATTAATCATAATACTGCATACGATAATGACATTGAAATCAAAAAAATGTAGTTGCCTTAGTAAACTCGATTGTAGTTCGTAGCAAGTGCTACGCAAGGTTCTACGAGATTGATTTAAATTCTTCACCCGCGATTTCTAGCTGTATCATCAACCTTGAATGGTTTACATGAATGATGGAGAATTATACAAAAAAAATTACCCATCGTAGAGGTCATCGTCTGCAGTTGAGTTGCGTGTGCGGAGGCGTCGAGCGCCTCGGGCCCCAGCTTTTCGCCAGCCGACAGCTTGCTCAGCGCCGCAAAACGCACATTACACAAAGTTCCACGTATCACCGATCACCTTTTCAATTTACGCCTTCCAAATACACCAAATCTCAGCATACTTCAGCAACAGCACTACGCGCGATCTGCGGAGACGGACACGGGGGATGACGCGGAGGTACAGTGCTTGACTGCATGCGCGCTCTCTGAACCTCTAGATTCGGCAAAACCACGATAACGACTGCGCGCGAATGTCGTCATGTCGAAATTCGAAACACTTTCACCTAAATATTCCGCCTCCGTTTCGGCGGACGCGTTCGTCGCTCTCGGCGCGCACGCACACACCGCCGTCTCTCAGTAATTACGCTCCGTAAAAATCGAGCTGGTGTTTTTCGTTGCCGACCTTACGATTGCAGTGCGCGCTGCCAAAATATAGTTATCTCTGTCTCGAACTCATTCACCGTTACCCGCGATGTTTTTTGTTTCATTTTTTTATCTTCGCCGAGGGCGCGCGTGTGAGTGCGCGATTTCGATAGCCGGGTCGATGAACTCGGCAAGGGATTTCGTTAGATGTGCAGTGTTTCAGTGTTAGATCGACTTCGCTGTTAGTTGTAACTAATATGGTACGCTGTGGCGAGGCATGTGCGATTCACCGATAGGGGACTTCTCAACACGTTAAGTAGGTCAGCCGGTTGCGCGCACGCATCTACTACCTTATCAGGAAATCTGGTTAATTTAGGTCCCTTTTTCATGTGGATTAATAAAAAATCATAAATTCTTATATAAGTCAGGAACAAGAAATTTATTGAGATAATTAAATTTTAAAAATTAGCAGACTTTTAACCTACATTTGCGGCTGTTTTTTGTCCAAAAGGTTAAACAGGCCGACGGCACAGTTTGGTGTTGGATTACATTAAAATAGAGTTCATTAGCATCGGCCTCTATTCGTAAATATCTAGATTACTGATTCATCGTGTTAACAAAGAACAATTTGTTATAAACAGGTTGTGCTATTCACTTTCTGATTGTATTATTATTCGTTTTATACATCTACAGAATTACTCAAAGACGTAAATTAATCAGTAATTATTTAATAGACCGTTATATGAAATCTATTAAATTAAAAAGAAGTGCATAACATTTGTTTTTGTTTTATTATTTTATCAATTATAAACGAACCACACGAGTTTAGAAACGTTGTACTTAATAAACAACTAAATTTGTCAATGTTATATAAAGTGAATATTATAAAATTGGTACTTTCCTAATTTAATATATCAACATTGAGTGTCTCTCATGGATTTTTTACAAAAACAACAACCGTATGCGCTGATAGTCAGGTAGTCAAATATATATTTAGCTGGCGGTATCTGGGTTAACTATTCTGTACAAAACACCCAATATACATACATATATATAAGATATGAACGGACTGGAAAGAGGTGAAAGCGAACCCGAGGTAACCCATTTTAATACGGTTACAGGAAAATGGACATCAATCAACGCTCAAAATGTCGTTCTCTGAATGGTGAATAATATTTTAACTTTTGTAACAAGGAGCATTGAAATAATGATAGATTTTTTAAATAGAAACGGTTTAAAACGCGATATATTAGTTCAAATTATTAAATTACTATTGTTCTTTTTATTTAATTATTATTATTGTTAAAGTGTTTTATTTAAATGTGTACTACTCGCGTAAACTATAGACAGTATTTACAAACATATTGTTACATTATTTGCAACGAAAAATAAATCTATTAAATATCCCTAGTATGTGTGTATGTTTTCACCACATTGTAAAAGTTTTTGTCTCTATGCAGAGCGTGCGCAAGACATATTTCTGTGATTGTTCACCGAAATGAAAAGCCTTCATAAAAATAGTCAAGAATATGTATATCAAAAAGTAATATCCACTGCCATACTGAAAGTCTCCATAAGTATCATCTAAACAAAATGGCTAAATAAATTAGTCATTGAACAAAGAAAAACGTGACAACATTTTATCAATGACTCGTCTTGATAACATTTTCGGCTAGACTGCAAAATCTAGTTAAGGTTGAACGACCTAAAACGCCAAATTTTATCTGGTGAGATTTACGAAATTAATTTCCTATTGTTTGATAAGTGACGTCTTATAGATTCATGATTTCACCATTAGCAGTTGCTATCTGCTGATATGAAGTTTGTTTGATTCAATTTTGTTTATTACCGAACTTTGAGCAAACTAGACTATATATTATACTCAACGTATTTAATTGTGATTTTAGTGGACTGTTCTTCATTTATAAGTTACTCCTAAATACATTCATCTGTTTATTATCTATTCTTTTTGACAACTGACTGATTTTTGATCTGTGGACTTGAGCAAAAAGAAGTTTATCCTTTATATTCTATGGTTTATGTTGTATGGAAAAATATAAGTAAAAACGAATGGAGAGAGATATATTTTAAAAAGTATTTCTCCAAGACTTATAGTATTTTCAAAATTAATATAGTCTAGTATAAGCTAGGTGTAATGTTAAAACCTGGCAAATAAAGATAACCGTAAGTGGCTGCGTTGAAAATTAAAAGGACATCAACCCATGAATATTTAAGTTGTGCGCTCCGTCAACTGGTGACAATCCAAATTTCGATAAAGGTGTGAATGACCTCGGCCATCGGTAAACATTGCCGAAAAGCGATCAGGCTAATTAATTAATAGTGGAAATATTGTCCCTTTACACAATTTTCTTTTGGCTAGGGAATTGGTTGCAATATAGGTGTGCTATGGAATTGTCGTGGGCCCTAAGATATAATGTAAACTGCACAATATTAAAAACTTACAATCATCAACTATACCGTAAATAAATAAAAAAGACAAGATGAGATAAGTTAAATTTGATATCGTAATATTATCAAGTTGTACCAGCCGATGATATACAAAATGCAAAATTTATATATAATAAAAATTCTGTAACACGTTGTGTCGTCAATAGTATGAAAAGAAAAAAACAATAAAAGGAGATCGTCTCCGTTGTGAGTCATATGAGATTTTTGTATCTATTTTTATATTCAAGTATCATAATAAAAGTATTAAAAAATCTTAACAAACCGTTTTAAACTATGTACATAAACTTAAAATTTAAAAAATCACGTAGACAGAACTCTACGAAGCGCTACGAGACTCGAAAAAGGAGAACACGACGATAAGTCGTTTTTCTTTTTTTTTATTTTTGAATTTTTTTAGTTAATTTTATAGCCGCGCTACGATGACTTATTAATACAAACTAACAGGAGTCTACAAAAGGGGCTTATGTAAATATTTACTTGGAAAGTACACTTATTATATTGTTTTCCCCGATTTCGAACTTCGTGCTTAACGCAATATGCTAGGCAATACGTTTATTCATTTAGAAACTGAGGTAATCTTTGATATTCTTATAAATTTAACATCAACACATATCTTTCAAATAATGTTTATTTTAGATCTCTGAAATATTTGAACAAAGCACTTTTTCGGTTTAAAATGCAATATATTAGTTAAACTTATTTAGAAAATTTATTTTAACTATGGCCGACGTTTCTTTTTACTTTGACATCCTACATCTTTAGTCTCCCGTGACCACGGAAGCTTCCGCAAGCAAGATTCCGAAACGTCGGGCCGTAGTTAAAATAATTTTCAAATAAGATTAGCTAATATATGTATGTATTAAAGTGTTTTATTTAAAAGTGTACTATTCGCGTAAACTACAGATAGTATTCTCTGAAATATATTAGTCATAATTTCATGAACATCAAATTCAAAAACAGCGTAAAGCCTTTCAAACGACTGGTTGAATGAAATCTGAAAGCCGTCGCCCACTAAAAAACAATAAACAATAGTTGGGTGTCAATGACACAAGAACCTTTATTGTACAACAATTACATTTCAGCGGTAACCAAGTAACAATTAATGAATGCCCGTTCCAAATACTAACCGATTGTATCGCTTTAGAAAGTATGGATCGGTTTAATGATTACGCATCGAGGTATGCAAATCTAATCCATGCTTTGTGGCCAATTTTATTTCTAACGAGAAAGTAAATCCTCCTTTTTTAAAAAAAATGCAGGCCGTATATAATACGTATTTTTTCTTAAATCTCTGGCAAAAAGGGTGCTTAAATACGAAACCTCTTTTTTTAGGCATTTAGGGTGGGGTAAAAACAATCTTAAGTAATAAGCTTATAAGTCTTCTGTGCCCCGAAACAATATATTATGTATTTAAATCTTCATGTAAAAAAAATAATGATTCAAAATATAATTTTATTCAACAATATTGTAGCTCCGCTATCTAGACTTCATTAGCAGTTCATATGGTTTGCCATTAGTAGAATAAACTATACAATACTGTATTATATAACGTTTTATATTGTAAACCCGTCGCATATCCTCGCGCAGAATGGCCGCGTCACAGTATTTCACAACAGCCATCCACCACCGTTTTCACTTTTTCGCTGTCAAGAACGCGCGCACGATAAACAAACATGTACTCAATAATTTCGAAAACAACCCAAGGAATCGATCTATGACTAGTTTTAACTCTTGACAGTGTGTACTTAAGTTCAAATTGCGAAAATCCCGATCCAAAAAGATAGAAAATAAAATACCCACAAAAAAGGTCGTAAGTCCATCGATTGCGTATACAATTTTGAGTCGTATCAGCTTACAATAATATCAAAATTGAGGTGGCAGTGGTGCGTGTTAAGCCTCTTATCACTTATCAAGTGGAATTGTAGAAACCTCGAGGCTGGTCGTTGACCTTTTTTGGTTACATATTCGCCGTCGAAACAAAAGGCTTATATTAATTGAGGCAGTGGAAACCTTGAGATTTGCAATATCTTGTGTTGTCTTAGGTTATTTCTTTGATAACCTACATACTACTTAATAGTATCGAATAAATATGCGATATGGAAAAAATGATATGGACCCAAATCTTTGTAAAGCGTTTTTTGCCCATTTACTCGTCTTTAAGCAAACATAGTTACGAAACCCCGCAATGAGCAAAGTCAAAGGCGTTAAATATAATATTTCTAAGGTACCTACATGAAACAAAAGTCTAGAAAGTATGAATCAAAGCAATTAACTTATAATTACTAAGTTTTTCATTTACATTTATAAAACCATTTTTTATTTTGTATAACAATTTTTTTACGTCAAATATATATGTGAAACGCTCTAATGCCTAATTTTTTTTACTTACGATTAATTGGAATATAATACTGTGATGTTTCTTTGTGTTACCTGTATTAAAAAAAATAACCTTCTCTGCCTCCATAATTAATAATTTAATTTGAAAACATTGGACTCGAGTCAATTAATTGATAAACGATTGAAATACGTTACATTTTATCCGCCACACGCAACTTCTATACGAGAATATCGCTTTAATACAGAAAAAGCCAAACAATGATTCCGATCTGCCAACTTGTTATAATAATAGCGTCGTTGCAAAAGCTGACATTGCCTCTCACTGTACCACGTAACATAAGTTACGCAAAAGGTCTTTACCCTTGTTTATTTGGGACAGATTTATTAAGTGATGTTTTAATTTACGAGTATTAGCATCTGTATTTGTTGAGTAATGATGTACAATGAGTTACGCCGTCTTCTCGTAGTTCCATCACTTTTCAATGTTTGTGTAATTCAAGCTTTTAGCGAGTTCGCGTAGCGCTGTTTGTTTTACGAAATATTATATAGCTGTTTTATTTGTGCCGTGACCCTAGAGGACATTGGTTCAATTTCCAGTAATCACCAAAATATCGATGCTTTATCTAGTACTGTTCAGTTGATTGTAGGTAAAATAACTCCAGCCATGTAACGTCTGATTAAGATACGCTGTCTATTTTGTCTTTGGATATTCGGAAATCGAAACGCGATTAAAATTCACGCCTTTTCGATCTGTGGTCGGTGGTGGACTGAATTTCGATATTACTAACACTTATTTAATTTCCAGATGAAGTCCAACATGTTTAAAAGAATTATTGATTTACATTAAATAAACAAAGGTTGGACCTGCGACTCGTTGATTATTATTAACTATACATTGCTACCATCACATCATCCAGCCCATCTACTAAGAAGATTTGATTCCGACTTTCACAATCACAAGGCGATGCATCATTACATAAGTTTTAGCAACGACAATGTCAGTGTTATGTAAATGTACGACAAAGCGAATAATGCTCGTGAGGATTTTCCCGTTCGGATACATTCGTTAGAAATGTCGAAAGTAACGTTAGGAAGAAGGACCATCTAATCAAATTATATTTGCGTCTTACTAAGCTCTATTAAGATGCAAATTAATAATTTAAGAGTAAACAAAAAGTTTTTATGTCATTTTTAGTGAATGAACTTCATAAAAAGAAGCAAATCTGAAGTATGCATATGAAGATTTCTCGTCCCATTGTCTGTATCTAAATAAAACACTGTAACGGTATAAAACGCGATATATATTAGTTAAATAAATTAATAGTAATAAACTACAGGAAACTAAGTCATCTAAATGGAATTGATGTTTAATCCTTTTCTAAAAATCTGGAATCATTTGAATACAAAAAAATAAAGATAATCCTTACAAAAGAAAACAACTAAGTCTAGATACAGTAATAAATTATAAAATAAGCCAAGAATAGTACAGACAGATGTGTGCGTGCATGTACGAGTGAGAATTTGTATGTGTGTTGTATTTAATTGTGCGAATCAAGTGTATTTTTTAATATATGTAAGGGGTAACCCGGTCATTCTGTCGGCAAGCGAGTGCACGCAACGGCCAAGAGACGTTGCAAGTAAAATTGTTGTGAGGATATATTTGTAACTGTGATCAAACTTGGAAGACAGATATGTGTTTTTTTACTACAATCCTATAATTATTTATATATAATCCAAAACACGTATTTTATAATATACAATCACATATACTGGTAAATATTACCATGGGTGGGCTCGTTGATGTAATCCAAAACAAATAAGTCGACAATGCACCTTGAATCTAGTATTTTATGCCTGGGATATCTCACCTCCAATCTAGTAAACTTTGTGCTTGTCTGTCCTACGCTACCAAAACAGGTGTTTTTGTTAATTTTTATTTTTGGAGAAACAAATAGCATTCAATTTTAATTAAATTAATTGTCGATTTTATTACGTCATAAAATTTTTGAAAGAAGTATTAAGAACCTTTTTACTTTATCTGTATATCGAGGTATTTCTGTGGAAATATTTGCTCTGGATAATTGGGTTAGTCGACATCGGAGAGGGTGTTAGTTTGTGGCTAACATGCGAGCGAATCACGCGATCGTGCCACAATAACACACTGCTAAAGAAACTGAGGAAAATGCCTTCCGGGGTGAACGGCCTCGTTGCGTAAAGACCGCACGGTGGCGCAACATATGCGCGCGCGCCCCTCTACCAGCGACATCTACTCGTATGGGGGTGATGGAATTTTTCGCTTGATCCACAAGCGATACGATGTTTGTGAACTTATTCAGAGTATTGTTATTATATTGCTTAGGTGGTTTAGACTTTTTATTTTCTCTGTAATAGTCAAAACATATTTAAAGATTCTGAGATACATACAATATGAAGTATATTTGTAAGAACTGTATTATACATACAAAAATATTTTCAACATTTTTTTTTGTAAAATTACGAAAAAAAAATTTAGACCCAAATAACGTTCTCACACCAAAAATTGCTATTTTTTGAACAGACCTTTAAATAATGCTTCACCTTTACCTAATGTTAATTTCAATTCGTTTCGGTTCCATACATGATTCAATACTGTAACCGTGCGATTTGAATAACGATATTGCTACTTTTTAGTCGGTAATGTAAAGCAAGTGACGAAACGTAACTTAAAACCTAGGTCAAGGTTTTGCTTCTCTTCGAAATGGGAAAATTGCCACACATAGCCGACCTTACCTTGCGCACGACCACTCGGTAGGTATATGGCGAAATTCTGCAATTGTTTAAAGAGAATTTCATTTCTTAAAAAAAGAACTAGAAATCGTAACAGCTTCACGGTGTTTTTATGCGAATTAAAATTATTAATTTGATAATTACGCCTTAGGTGTAACACCTTTTTGAAGTTAAACGTGAAGTATTAGTTGAAATTATTTATTTTTTGCTTTATTTTAAATTTCTTTCTATTTCAACTATATTTGTTACTGTATTTTCTGTACATTTATGTATTAAATACAAAGATCAAAGATCTATTAGTGTGCCAAAGAAAATGGAAAGTCAGTTATACAACGACCACCTGACAGTGGCGTGAAAGGCGCACGATTTTAATGTCAGACGCCGTGGTCAAGGTTTAATATTTTGAGCGTTTGCTTAAGATTTCCTTTATGAGATCTTATCTGAGTTATTCAAGTGATTTCTGTGAATAAAACTCCATCTCATTACTCAGTAATTGTGCAAACATAAATCCATATCAATAGCAGTGGAAAAAGTTTTGTAATTAACTTAAGCATCAATACTGAAAACATATATCGCATGTAATGCTATCGAAGAAAGCGTGAGAAATCTATAACTACGCACTACGCTGGAACGAAGAGTAAAAAGATCAAAAGAAAGTGAGAGCATAGCCGGTCTAGGCTGCGCGGGCGCAGTAACGGCACTACGCGCCGCAGACGGTGCAACGGTACCGGGTGTAAGTTGTGACGTCACGTAACTGTGCCATAAGCCTTTACGGTGCATCCCGTAGGACCTGTCTCGTTCACATTTACAACCGTAACGTTATAGTGTTGAAATCATTATTTATCGATGTTCATGTGTGTCGATAAATAATCTATCTAATGTATGTATGACTACTTTTACGCAAATAGCTTATAATTTTTGCGTTAAGATAAATAAATATATGTTGTGTATATATAAATAAAGATTTTTTCGTAATAACGAATTTATTTAAACATTGGTCAAAAGCTACGATACAAATCCTAATGCTTTTAGGGTTTCTGAGTCATGAAAAGAAAGTAAGAACATAAAATTGGGAAAATATGAATATAATGGGAAATTTTGAGATTTCCCATTTGTATATGCTACCGTCGTGCTTTCTTTTTTCTTAAATTTAGTTCATCGATATCGATATATCGCGCAGCACTACTGGTCAAGCACCACACGTCTTAACCACTTTCTCTTTCGATTGCTCCGCGCACACATGGCTAGATATTATAGAATAGTTTGTGTGCCGTGTTACATCACGCTAGTTCGGCTGACGCATCCGAATGTAAAGGTCAGAATCTATTAATAGGGTGTAAGTACAGCGCTCTCCAAACTTTTTGGCCGGGCTGAAGTTAACGCGGGTGGTTGCGCAGAACGCAAAAAGCAGGTATCAGTTACTACAAAAAGGGGTGCGCGGGTATAGGGCGACTCGACTTCTGCTTAAAATTGACAGTACCATGCGCAAACTTCAGCTCAGCCCGAAAGTTTGGAGAGCACTGTATTTACGTTTTCAACAATGTACCGTTTGTGTCGCCCAACTGGGACATTATCAGGTAAAATATTATCTACGACAAATGTTTTAACACGGCTAGACTCTAAAGTATATAAATAAATGTAGTAATAACATTTACATATAAATAGATATTTCGACCTTTATTATGTTTTCTTACGCCGTTGTAACATTTCGTTAGTCGCGTGTAAATTTTACGATGTTTTAGAAGACATCAGTTTGGTAACGCCATCTCTTAGACATCGTTACAAGTTAAAAAATCTGTATATATAAATTGGAAAGTTTGTTATATTATACCTATTAGTCAGTTCAGTTTTTCTTGTTTGTTATAGTAAGCAAGGTCAATTTCTTTGTTTGTGCAATCAATTTCCGAAACAGATGGGTCAAGTTTAATAGATCTTTCTTGATATTATGCAATAAAAAATAAATTATTTTTTTTGTCTTATAAAGAGTTCTGCAAATCAAATAATATGACGATATAAAACATAGTTTGGCGTAAATGTGTAATTACGCGAGTAAAGCACATTTAAATGAGACATTTTAACGGCTTAAAACGCGATATATAGTAGTTGAACATATATATTTTATTTTTTATTGAAATAATATGATGAAGACGACGCCAGTACCAGTACTATACTATTTCGTAAAAATTATAATTTTATCTGGAGGAAAATGCGAAGTAGCACTGCGAGTCCATGACTCCTACATCATTGTCACAAAGGTTCAGTTGCAAGGTCGCGGCGCTCGAGCCCTGCGTGGGAAATCCATTGCCCTCATCAACACTCACATAAAATTTAATACTAACGCTGGCTTAATTAAGTCTAGATTGTTCTATAAAATCTAGTATTTCATTAATTATCGGCTATTGAGATGCATTTGAATTAGTGTCATTGTTAGACCGCTCAGTTGTATTGTTATTGAAAACTTTGTTTCGAATATTTATTAATAAATAAGGTAAGTACTTTATTTCATAGTGCCATATGGCTGAAAAGTATCAAAAGTTTATTTGAGTGAATGATATAATATTTTTTTATTATATTTATTATATAATTACTGTGTAGCATAAACCCAAAGACAGTCTTGTCTTCCAAGACCAAAGATAACTAAACTACAAGTATTCAATTTCTATAAAAAATAACAAATTTATTTATACAATAAAATTAATTAAAATCAGAAAAAAGACTTGTGAATTCATATTTAGGTTTCTCCTGTGTTTCGTAGAAACGTTCATGCATGTGGTACTCACGCGCACAGATGAGTCAGTGATCATTTTATGACTTAACTATCATTGACCTTAATTTCTTGCCTGCGTATGTATATCAGATTAGATTTTATAGTTATTATGAACACTGCATTCCCAAGTACCTAAGTCTTGAAATATGCGTATAGTAAAAAAAGCCTCAAATTGAAAACCTTTGATATTCATCTGTTGAAAACTGACATAATTGTATTAAATAGACAGATAATTATGATTTAACGGTTTAAAGCGCGATATATATATATTAGTTAAAGAAGAAAATTATTTTAAATTCGACCCGGCGTTTCGGATGATTCGCAGAAGTCGTAGTCACGGGTCTCCCCGTGAAATAATTTTTGAATCGTAAATGTGTACTACTCGCGTAAACTACAGATGGTATTTAGATAATTATTATCTCATGAAATGAGTTTTAAAATGTTGGTCATGTAAAATTTTAAAATAGAAATTAATATTATAAGTAACGACAATCTGGGTTTAATGAAAGATACTATGAACTTCGTGTGATTCATAAAGTAATAGTCAGTTTTAAAAATAGAACTCAAAAGTAGAGATAAAATCGGAAATGCCTTGTCTAAGACGTAACTAAGCAACTTTGTATTCAGAATGGCGCTAGTTTCTCTTACTTTTACCCGTTATCGTATGCTAGCGATAATAGAACATGTTGGCCATATTATGAACTATTTACGAAGCGTAACGCGCAATGTGTGTGTAACATGTACTAGCATTGTCGGTTTCAATCTTGTATCTAGGGCAGTCATCCCGACTGAACAGAGTACAGTCAAATACAATAGTGCGACGTTATGCAACACGATCGCACGTCAGTTTACGCGACTGTAATGCCTATTAGGAAAATGGCTTTCAAATTAGTAGTCTAGCTTTTCAATTTTATTGTAATATGTGCAAGCTATTTGGAAAACACTGAGCAAGAAATTCAGACATCATACAAAATAATAAAGAACGATAGTAATAAGAGATTTTATTTAATTGTTTACCTATATTAAAACTGGTTTAAAGGATCTTTACTCAATTCAGACTTTTGCTTCATGGTCTCATAATTTGAATTTGAAATATAATAAGTTTTCAAAATTAACAATTCTTTTAAGAACATTATATAAAAATAATATATAACAACCTATATATTTGTAGTTTATTAGAGTGGTATTCAATAAAAATAAAGCGTCTTCCTTTAAACGTCGTACTTTGTACAATCTAATATTAATTCTCAATCTAGTGGAAAATCACCTGTGATTCTGCATCCACTTAAAATAACCATAACAGTTACATATACGTATCCGTTACATTTATGAATGTAATGAATTTTTCAACGTGCGATTCTATTACGCATCTAACACCACAGCTAGCGACATTTAAATAATAAATTCCTAGCGACAATGCATCACCTTGCCAGGGTACATTGACGCATCTACGTTTGTCCGAGCGACCTCATAACGTTTTAGAACTAGCATCGAATAACATCTATCCTTTTCTAACTTATAACTTTAATTGCGCGTAGATAGAGACAGAAGTTTGTAAGACTAGTGCTGACCTTCATAAGGTATGGTTCTAACAAAAATGAAGGGCTAAGATACTTCGTACATTTGAAGGTAAAACAATGCAAACATAGGTCCTAATTATGATGGAACCTTGTTCCCAAATTATAGGGATATGTTTGCACGAGTTACCAATCAATTAGATTGCGGTTGTACTTATGAGAATAATAATTAAAAATGTTAACTGTTTGGCTGGCAGATTTGAGCTGGGAGCGAAACGTGAAATATGACGTCAGTTGTGAATGCTGGCATATCCTTTCTAACTTTCACTGACCTTGACAGAGCCAGCTTTGCAAACCTTCGAAATTTTGAGAAATTGTAGTCGTGCATGCTAAATGTAGAGAATATATTTTATTTATAATAAGAGCATCACTTATTTATTCTTAAATAATTATAATTAAACAATTTATACTGTAATCATATTGTTCAAGCTATACGAGGGTAATTTTTTTATTTCCCCTGCGGTAGACAAAGATGTCTAATAAATAACAAATAATGTCTGTAACTGGGCGATTTTATTTTAAGGTTGACCAGATTTCTACATCATATCCAATCGACCCTAACTTACGAATTATTTAGTTAAAATTTGTTATTACAAACACGATTATTCTCTCGATCTTTAATTGTTTTGTATTAATAAAAAAGCTTAGGTATAGGCCAAAAAAGTCCAAAGCCACACTAAACAACATTTTCAAACCATGCTTTTGCATTGAAACAATAGCGTTACGCCCTACACGATGTTGAGATTTTTAATCTCAAATCATATACCATTCAGTCTTATCCATAAGAGCATCAACTTTGACCCAAATGTGAGATTTTAAAGTGAAAGCGCTTGCGCGGATAAGGGCATATAATGACAATTGCTTTATATCTGACAAGTTCTTGTATTGAGTGAGATCGGGGTTACACGAGCACTTTTACTTAGTTACAGTAATACGTTGTTGTAATTAATTGAACATTTTGTACGTAATAAAAACGTCTCATTACATCTCCCTACAAAAGAACAAGCCTTATTTACGGTATATTCACAATTATAGCCGCATTTAATATTTACATTCGTATGACATGAAATTTTTTTGATTGAAAAGATTTGTGACGCCGGCGGTACTCGACACTAAAACTAACAGCGAACAGTGTTATTACCAAAATAGTACAGTGGATCGGAGTACGAAATTAAGGAACTAAAATAATTTATTTTACATTTTTAGAATTTTCAAGATTGAATAATCACTACTTTTAAACTGTCTATATTAAAAAAACGTAAACAATGTCTATAATACTAAAGATATTTGAGGAAAAAAACTTTTTACAGAACTAAAGTAGATAAAAAATGGTTTTTGAAATTTTGTTTTCATGCTCTTCTCTGGCTTATATATAGTAAAGCTTTAAGTTTTGTTGAGTTAAATTTAAGGTAGCTCCGAATGTACTGCGCAGTATATATGCACTAATGACGCAAGTAAGAAAAAATGAAAATGTATAAAAACGACGACGAAAATCTAACAAGGAAATAAAACATGTTGACAATATTATTATCTAAAAGAATAGTGCAAGAGACAGGTTGCCCGCCAGATAACCTAAACTAAAACGCGAACAGTGATAAGGCGTTACGCGGACCGCGGCTACAATCATTAGATAAACATATAGGTCACTGAACCGACCCAGTTTTTCGATAGAACCGCGGTACGTCTGTGTGCGGTTTCAACAAAAATCTACACAAACACAAGCCGCGGATGTGCGTAGAGACGGACTAATTTACAACATACGGACGAGTATATAAACTATGACTATTAACGAAGTTCTTCGGTTTTGAATAGAAACAAACATTTAATTACTAATTGTTTGAAATATAACAACGGTAGACAAAACAAGAACACAATAGAAAGAGAAGATACATACGTCGTAGCAATGGCTACGGGATTGATAATTGAATTAAAAGAGTAAGTATGGTCTAGTTTATGCAAGTAGTACACATTTAAATAAAACACTGTTAGCGGTTCAAAATGAGAAATATTTGAGTTACTTACTACCTACTTACTTATAATTTATTTTCGTCCCCACGTAAACATTACTGCGGCAAAACATTGGCGCTCGTAGTTCAAATAAATAAAAATAAGTTAACTAATATATTGCGCGTTATAAACCCGTCAACAAGTGTTTTATTTTAATTTAAGTATATACTAATAATAATAAACTTGTTTTAGCTAGGCGTATTCAATAGGACTTAAGTAATGTAATGGATTATTAAGTTATTGAAGGAAACGATTACATTTTAGAAGCTATTCTTCTCAATCATTTCCTAAGATTATTTGAAAATAGAACGTATTGATTAAAAAAAAGTTTTGTTGTTGTCCCAATGCTGCAATAGATGGCGATAATATAAACTATTCATAGCAAAACCAATATGGCGGCGGTGTGTATCTATCTGTTAAAAATTGGTTTACAATATCGAAAATCCTTTTATAACAAGTTTGAAAACTTTATTCTTTATGAATTTTGTAAAATTTAATTATGAAATTTATGAAAATTAAAGACTTTTAAACGAACTTATCTGTTATAGAAATTCGGATACATCAATTATTTAAATGGTAAATGTTAACACAACGATATATGTACTTATTACTAAAAACAATTTCTTTTCTAGTCTCATAATAATTTAAATAAGATTTATGCTTGACTCCAGATACTTAAAAAGCCTGAACGGTCTTTGATAATTATCAATTTAGCGTTGCAATAAATTTAACCTTTCGCGTTGTTGCCAATTGTACAACGGCAAATATCTATAAGTATCTACTTATAATTCATATTTTTAATCATGTGTGCGTGAACGTCGAACAACAAACAGCAAAAAAAAAGACAGTGTAACAGAGCGTGCATGCCGACAAACAAACAGAAGCTTTTTATACCGAAATACATCGTCTCACCGTAAAACATGTTTCTCAAACTCGCCGGTTCCCTTAGAACGGTATGTCTGTCCATTCAAACGGGGGCAGAAGCGCGCAACGTTTTCAGTTGGCGCATGAAACAGTTCATCACTAATTCGTGCTACACATGGGGTCATAAGCGTTTAGCGTAGCGGGAGTCGCGCTCGCGGTTGCCGCTCGTACGGAAGTAGGTTAGTAACTAAAGTTTTGTTTGCGTGAGGCTGCGGCGCGCTGCATTCAACTCGCTTACGCTGCCGCGCGGCCATGCTCACAGCTCGCTCGTCTCCCCGCTCGCCGCGCGCCCTCCCGCCTCGCGCCCGCGCATCTTTCACTTTCGGGCTCCGGGTCGCCGCCGCCCGCCCTCACAGCCATTGTTAGGCCACGCTGAAATGCGGCACACAATATCACCCTTCCATTCACGTTTCGAACCCTTGCGTTAATTTATTCACGCGTACCTTTGACAACAAATATAGAAGCAATTGTCTTATTGATCTCTATTAACAATCTGCCATATAGGTTGACTACAAAATAAATAGAAAACGCTCAACATGATTTTGTAATAAACTTACGAATGTAAAACAAATCGTTATAATAGATGAGTGGCATTGAAATGTCAAAATTAATGATACAAAACAAAGGGAGACGTGATTGGAATTACATTAATACGATTCTATAGTACGATAGCGATCTACGTCTAATTTTGACAGGTCGATTCTGACATTCGAATATGGAATACGCTCTGAGCGTTGGGTACATCACACGCATTCGCGGAGTGCTCATTGTCGATGGTTATGTAAGGCAGAGGCCGCATCGATGCCGCTGGTGGAGTCAACGGACGGCATTGACACGCGGCCGTTCCCCACTGCGTTGCCCCCTCGCCCCTCACCACTGCTGAAACCAGCAGCTGCGAAATTGGGTCACCAGCTACGCCGCCTCACGCTCTAACCGACCAATTGATTTGGACCTCTCAATTTCCAACCGATTTGTGAATGTCGAATCAATCGTCGAGATATTCGAGAAACGACTCGGCTCAAGAGAAACTGGACCTCAAATAGCGTTCAGTTAAAAATAACTGCTACAAATTGACGGGGCACGTAGCAAAGCTAACATTTACTAAACGGTAACGAAGTTCGATAAGACCAATTGGTCTTATAAAATAATATGGACCAATTGGTCTTATAAAATAATATGGACCAATTGGTCTTATAAAATAATATGGAATTATATGGACATATAAAACTAAATAATAATTACCTCATATAGTCTGGAACTTTCGTATTATTGTGTAACAATTTAGACAAAATACGACCGGGTCGTTATAGAGTACTTGTTGCGATTTTATTTGAATTTAGAATGGATAAACCATCGTAAAAGATAATAGATGTAAAACACTTGTGCAATCAAAATTATAGTGTATTTATCCTTTAAATGACATAAATAGTTTCTAATATTAATGCATGAAAGATAGAGAAGGAAAACAGCAATGCACCGGCACCGAGCGTTAGAGTCAACGAACGTCATTGAAGTATTATTCGGCCCTATTTACACTTTACCACAACGTGATAAGGTTAAAAATCGCTCGACGCAATTACACAATCTAGCCTTGGCTCTTACTGGCCTGGCTGACTTAGACATTCTATCTACTTTTACGAGTACATTGGCGAAGGCTCCACTACTTGGTACTTAGTGCAACGAGCTATTGCACACATCTAGTCAAACGATCTTAGTTTCAAATATAATCCTGTGAAACAAGATTACAACTATTTATGCATTTGTGCCATGTAGACTACGTCAAAAACTCGACTAGTGACCTTTGGCACGGCGTTTGCCTTTGAAAAGCTTCATATATATTATGTATGTTGATAAAATCCAGTTTATCCCAGTCATATTTTTTATGATAGAGGGAGCAGACAAGGCTGATTTAAGGTGAAATAGTGGCGCTTTTGGCTTATTAAACTTTTTAAATCTATAGACGATGGTTTGTAACCCATATGGAAATTCGAGATTCCTAGTACGAATTTAATATATAGATTTCCAATAGAAGTGCAACACGTTTCCGAAAAATTATATATTTATACATATTGATTAGTAGCCTAATACATAACGACATTATGTAAGTACATTGCTACCTGAGACCAACAAGCCCGACAGAATAACTATATTTATTTCACTACTCGATTTTAATTTCAAGCAAGGTTGCAAAGCTAGGATCTCTCCTGCTTAACACAGTATTAGGCTTTGCATGTAACTATTTATCCATAATATAATTATGCTATTATTGTAAGTTATATCTATACATACAAGTCTTTATTGTTGATGCGTAGCTCTTAATTAGGTGCGAGATTTCCCAGGTTCGAATCACGGGAAAATATAGAACGAAGAATTGTAATAAAATTCTGTTAAGTAAAATCCTTTGAATTTAACTTATATATTATGTCTATTAAAAGAAAAATTTTGCTAGACTTTGCTAATGTCTTCAAAACCCAGGATTATTAGTTCATGAAGTTTAGCTAGTTTATGAAATTAAGTTTTAGACTAGTACTTCCCTCTAGTTGTGTAGAAAGAAAAAGGAAAAATAATAGTTTTATTAAACATTTTGGGTAACCTTATTACTATGTTTGGGTTCAGGTTAGGTAACCGTAACGGTTAATAGTCACCTTGACATTTAAAACTTCAGTAACCGAAATTATTATATAGATAATAATATAGTACTAGGTGATGCTACTCGATACTCGGTACTCTAATACACGTAACTAGACTGAGTACTCAGTATCTGAAAATATAATCTTGTTTGTACAAGAGTTTGTCATATATTTAACTTTAAAAAGTATGTAAAGAAAAATGTCAGTAATAGTTGCAATTTTATGAATATTTAAAGCAACAGTAATAATTAAGCTTATAAAACACAGTTTATCATTTTTATTATTTTTGCGAACTTAGTAGGTGAAATAATTCGAAACGCCGGTTTCCATGTTTTTATCTGTAGCCATATGATAATTCCATATTTCGACCACCTATTTAATCTACAGACTTGCCAGACGTGGTAGAATATGATTTAAAAAAATATATTGATTTAGAAACATAACCCATTGGAAATTAACCACGCGTTTCTACAATTGGGCCATCGAGCACGTCAGATGTTACTATTGCTAAAACACGAAAAAGGTAAAATTTTAAATAATTAACCATTATTATTTGAAGTGTAAAAAATACGAACAACAAACAAAAGTTCTGGTAATTTAAAACTACGAGTAAAATAACTGAAATTCCCCAACAATATACAAAGAAGCAATCAATATTTCCCTCCTTAAAATGTAGTACCAAATAATTGGTTTACGTCATAAAACGCAGGTAATTAAATGTGTCTATCAATGCTAATTTACATTGAAAGCCAATTTGTGAAGGTCAAGTTAATGTCGTTACCTAGCCAATATCTTGAGTAAATAAATTTGTAGGGCTAAAAAGTTAGGCCAAAATTACTTATGTTTAAAATAGTGTGCATCCAGGGCACTTAACCAATTCCATAGTACTATCAGACTTTCATAATTAAATTTATTGTACCTAATAGTGACCGCTTCTGTAGCCAAATTGTTAAACGTATTGCCTAGGATTGCGTTAAGCGCGAGAGGCTCTGTGTTCGAATTCCAAAGAAACAAAAAAAAACATTTGTTCGAATTTCCCATGCCCAACGAGGGGGAAACGGGATTTTACTTAATACTGAATCTTAAAAAACAACAGAGATGACTTAAATTGGTATGTCAATTACATGCGTACGCGGATAAACTAAATTGTTCTGATATCAAAAATAATAGGTAGATAGGTAGAGTTAATACAAAATGTTTTAGAAGCTATTTTTCTATAACTGATGTGATTAGTAAATTGACTTGAGCCGGTTTTTGTCGCCCAACGTTTCAAAAAATATTGTTCATTATACAAACATAACGACTTTGAAATATAAAATACTGTATAGTTTACGCGTAGTAGCTTAGTAGTGCACATTTAAATAAAACACTTTAACGGTTTAAACGCGATATATTAGTTAAACTTATTTGAAAATATTTTTAACTTCGGCCCGTTTTCAAATAATTTTAACTATTATATCGCGTTTTTAACCGTTAAAGTGTTTTATTTTAAAGTGTGAGCCTTTGAAATATTTCAATTTTCCTACATAATTTTGTGTCTTATTTAGTCTTAGTACGTTGAATCCAGGACTATTAAGTGGCTTTTAAATATAAGTAACGATTTCACAGATGACGCTACAGCAAAACAAGTGAATTGATTAAGCGATCAGGGGTGGCGTCATAGTTACTCGCCCTAGTTTCAATCGCAGGCTGCATCGGGTGAACGAACGTCATTGACCTAACTAGGTACCTGCGCGTTGCGTTCGCCCCTAGCGGATAAATATGGTTTTACGCGGCATTCGCTGCTTGGCAACAGAAATATCGATTTTTAGCAATGTTGCCCAAGCGTTAAACATCTTTGTATATCACTGTATAATTATGTACATACCACAGCTGTTATAGCATGAAATTTAAATTTAGAATAAATGTTTTACTTTTTTCGATTTCTTTACTTATAACTTAGCTTATAATAATTATAATGTTCTTTTTGACAGTTTTAGAAATAATTTTATGTGAGAGAGAAGTGAAAAGAAATTGTTTCGTTGAAAATACCTTTTGTTACATTTTTTTTGAGACACCTATCGTCTTAAGTCCCCCACGGCTTCTGAAGAGAGTCTGAAATGTTGGAGCTAAAAACAATTCTCTAATAAATCACGCATTTTGAACCATTGAAAGTGTTTTATATATTTATCGTTACAAATTGATACTACTGGTATACCTTATACAGTCTATAGTTTACGCGAGTAGTACACATTTAAATAAAACACTTTAACGGTTTAAAACGCGATATATTAGTTAAACTTATTTGAAAACGAGCCGAAGTTAAAAATTATTTTCAAATAAGTTTAACTAATATATCGCGTTTAAACCGTTAAAGTGTTTTATTTAAATACCTTATACATTTATATGGAATCATTTATATGGAAACATATAGGGTAGGTATAAGTATTTAAAAATATATATGTATTTGTTATCCTTTTCTAAGATATGTTTATAGACGCAGACGGACAAGTACAGAGTTTACCACAGAACACTGGTTTTGGATATTGGGAAGAAACATAGACTGAAATCGAAACGCGATTAAATTTCAGCCCTTTTTCATCTGTGGACGGCGGAATTTTCGTTACTACTACTAGCCATTTGATGTTTCAGAAAAATTAAGAATTCATTTGAAACATACCTGATGGGGATAGACCTACGATCCGTTGATTATTAGCTATAAATTGCTACCATTAGACCAATGTGAAAGAAATATAGCAATTATAACTTAATTAAACAGTAACAGAGAAACTCTTAGGGCCCCTGACATTGGGCTCTGACCTCAGTGTCTTTTGGCTGTCACCTTGGCATTGGAACTGCCTATATATAAGCCGGAATGGCCGACGCATTCAAAATTTATTCCTACTTACAAAGTAATAAATACGCAGTTACATTTTGTTGCGGTCTTTTGTCAGCTATTTTTATTTTATTGTATGCTATACCCTGGCTTTAATCGGATTATATTATATTATCTAATTTTTCAGGTTTGAGGTGAAAAAAAAAAAAATTAAAATTAGACAGATAAAATAATAATATCGTAACTCCTACCAAACTATTTTCTTTTTCACTACTTAAGGAGCTAACTTTGAATATAAATGTTCATGACATCGTACGAAAACACTATTAACCTTTCATCTATTTAGGTTGTACCCTCGATGTTTTAGTCAGTCAGTCATAATTTAAAAATCGAAAATAAATTAAAAAAATATTTTAGACTCGGGCAGGACTTAAACCGGCATCGTCAGCGTTCTGTGTTGTTGCTCTACTGCAATTGAGCTACTGAGTATAGTCCTTTACATGTGCAATAACATGTGAAAAATATTGATGTTTTCAGTCAGTCATGACAAAGTTTTATGTATGTGCTGATTTGTCCGTGAAGACAATTGTTTTGGCAAATTTACAGTAGATTACGTTTCTGGTGATATTAACGCATTTGTTAAGGTTAAAATCCTCGTACAATGCAAATAAATAATTTGTTTTGGGACTGTAAGCCATGAGCGGGGCTTGAACCGGCATCCACAGCATTTCGTGCTGGTGCTTTTGGACTAAAAAAAAATTCGAAGTTATATGAAGGTCAGGCAGATTGTGATGCATTGCGTTAAGGGCCATAAATAATTTACTGTAGGGGGTTTTAGAAAAAACTATAGACCATAAAAAGTGTTTCAGACTAAAAGAATATGGATTCTTCCTTCATGGTTATTTGGTGACCATGGCAACCAAATCGTAACCGACTAGATTTTTATTAATAAGAGGAGGACAAACAATCTTGGGGTTCAGTTGATGGTAGCCGTTAACATCTAAACAAGATGCCCTGTCCACCTATTTGGCTTTGGATATTTGGACTTCAGCTTCTTAACAGCGTTTGAACACTTTGAAGCAGTCGCAGTCACAGAGGTTTCGCCTGTTGTTATTATAAATAAGTAAACTAATATTTATATTTCACGTTTTATACTGTAAGAAGTGTTATTTTTATGGATGCATGACAATATGGCAATACATAATTTAACGAACAATTTTCAAACACACAATTAACGAATTAAATTAATCATTTACGAAAATTATAAATTTGGCTGTTTTAAAAGTTTTTCATTCTCTGACTAATTTTGCGAACGTTACTTGTGAGTGCTTTTAAGTTTTAACTACAACTTTCTTGGGTAGATATTTCCGTTACGATTTTTTTTTAAAGTATAAATAGTTGCCTGACAAAACTCTTACGCAAGTGCACTTTTGTAAGAGACAATCATGATAAAAGCTTTGGGCATACATCAACTTCAATTCGCAGATAGAAAATTAGCAATTCAAAATGGCAGCGGATGCACCGAGTTAATGAGAGGCGCTTGCGCGGTGTCCCAGTTCCGCCGAGGTCACGGGGTCGTTCCCCGGGTTGTATTGATCCGGGGTGTCGGAAGTGGTGCTCCGGTGCAGCGGACTTGCTATTTTTTCTACCACCTCCATTCTAGGTGACTTCAAGAATTAATTTTGCATGAGGTTTTAAGTAGGCAAATTCGCTGACTAGAATTTATTGAGTCGAAGATGCGAGCAATGATCAATGGGTATTTTTTGGAATACATATATATTAAAAAAAAAAAAAAATGACAAGAGGACGTAAATAAAATTCTTTCTACCTTTATTTTTTTGTTGTGTAAAGTAGGTTAAATTGCTAAAATGAGAATGATAGCGTGTCATGTAAAGGATCAATTGTATCTTATAGGGTAAGTAGGAAGGGGCAGTGGCTAACGAGGGTGTAATTTGACACCTATGAAGCAACGGAGGGTAGTAAATCACACGAGTATGGAATGGTATTTTCTTGTTGTCGTTATTCGTTGTTGGGGTAAAAATATATACTTAACAATCAACGGGTCGTTCGGTTCGATCCACACCGAGTTCAACATGCTTCTAATAAATCTTTTTTAGCATTTCGGACTTCAATGTCCAAAAAGCCCCAAGCCCGTCACGAACTACCATTCATAGATGAAAAAGCCGTGCAGTTAAATCAAGTTGGCTATGATTTGGTTGCCATGGTTACCATATAACTCCTAAAAAATGGTAGCATACCCTTTTCTAATTCTTTTATGAACTATAGTTTGTTCTAACTACTGTAATTCATTTAAATTTAGTTTAATAATTATAATAACTACTATCGTTTAATGAATACAAATCTACACTTGACATTGATTCGCAATTTAGAGGAAAAGTTGGACTCGGCTAAGCAAGGTTTCAACATAATATTTATTATCTGTCTGATAATGTTACGTTATATAGACATAGATACCCGGTTAGAAGTTTGTCTAAACTTGAGCTCGATTCAATTTATCTATTCTGTTAAATAATGCGTAATTTATTTACGTTATATTTGCAGTTTACGTTATATTTACATTGTTATAACTACAATTTCAATTTTATGATAAAAATGCATAAAGTTAAAAAAAACAAGCATGTGTTCTATCATCATCATCATCATCGCTTGGTACGTACAAAAAGAGACGAAAATTAAAGTAAAAATGAGAAAATCTTCCCATTCACTCACGGCTCAGGAAAACACTACTACACTAAGTTTAATTTAAACGTATACTTTAATATTTAGTTACAGAATACAAAAAACGTAGACTGAAGAATCGTTGACACAAGCACCAACTTAAAGCCATGGGCGATTTCAAGGCGATATATGCTGTATACTGTTGCAAGTTCGAGTCACGACATAAGAGATGTTTTATTTTCTATTTTAACACTGTTTTATTATAAACACATAATTAATCAGACTATAAAATTTCAAAAACGTTTGCCTTAATTTGCTATTATTCTTAAGTGCTAAGATTGGCGATAAAATTGTATCGTACTGGACGATATACGCATATGGCAGTGACAGTGGTGACCCCCCTATGACCCAATTTCGTCTTCCCAAGTCTGTGACGCACGCGTATATGTACCTGTTAGTTTAGTACACATAAAACATAGATATAGTGTTAAGTAATACTAAAGATCAGGTTTCATACAGTCTCACTCATTCACTATTCTTTCCTCTTTATAGTAACTAACGTACTGTCTTTAAAAGAATCCTTCTTCATATAGTATGTAAAGCAAATTTCAACCTAGTTTTAAGTAGTAAACATAAATTTAATGCACACTTTAAATAAAAGGTAGAGTATTTTTATAATACATTGTAATTGTCTTTTTTTGTGTGACTATCATTGTACATATATAAAACACTAACTGTGCCAGCGAGTTCGTTAGCGAGAATCGTTATTTTGGGCATCCAAATAAGTTTTTGCAAACCCCGTCATCTTTATAAACTTAAACTGTTACCCACAATGTCGATCGCGTCCCTTCCCGTCGTTCTTGCTAGTTAATCTTAAAAAATAGAGATATAACGTCGCGGACTTTTTTTTAGATAGGGACATTCATACACAATTTTTAGGTATCTTGAACCGTTTTCGCAGCGTACGCATCTGAAACCTATAGAGATGAAAAATTTCTCCCGTTTTGTTCAAATTTCTCGCTATAATTTCGCTCCTATTTGTCACATCGCAATGTGTTATATAAACCTTTATGTAACCTTCCTCTATAAATGCTCTAACCAACACAAAATTGTGTTGGTTAAAGATTCAATTCGAACCCGTACTTCCTGAGATTAGCGCGTTCTAACAAACAAACAAACTATTCAGCTATATATTAGTAAGTATAGATTGTTTATTGTTGTATACTACAGTTGATTCGATTATAACAAAATCGATAATAAATCAAATTCTTAATAGGAACCTCCATATCAGATTTCCAGAACCTCTCTATTAAGAACGGTACATAAAGTAAACTCAGTTAAGTAGCTATTGTTACTTTTATGATAAAATAAACAAGAGAGCCTGAAAGCCTTGTTGATCTATAAATAAGACGCCATATTGGCGTCTAGGGCGGCGCCGTTGCCATGGCAACGCTGCAGTCGCACCGACCTAGTTCCGCGGCCTGCCCAAATGTTAATGACCTCCAAAACCCAGGTCGAAGTTCACGCGCTACACGAGCAGGAGATTATCTTTCTACCCCTATAGATGTGTCTCTACGGGTCAAACCGGGTATTGATCGGCGGACGTTTCGGTTTCTAGGTTAGATCGGACCACGTCGCGAGCACGTAGACATTTGAAAATTCGAAAATAGAAGGGCAAATCGATACGTTTGCCCGTTTCAATCAATGGAGTTACACATTTCATGGACTAAATGAACAGCCAGTTTTTATTAAATTAACAATTTTTTTCCGATCTCCTTACAAAAAAATCTCAACGTTTTGAGTGTCCTACGAATCTTCAGCAAATGGGGGTAAACAATGTATTTAATCAATGCAATTTTTAAAAGTTTTTGTTTATTTAAATAAAACACTTTAACGGTTTAAAACGCGATATATTTGAAAATTATTTGAAAATTATTTTTAACTTCGGCCAGTCGTTAAAGTGTTTTATTTAAATGTGTACTACTCGCGTAAACTATAGACAGTATTTAATTTTTGTTTATACTTCAACAGCACTCTTTCTTTGGATTCTAATTAAATAAATACATAATAAGGATATTACTATGTTTAGGCATCGCTACGTAATATTTTATATTCATTAAGCTTAAACATAATTCATTTTTGAAAATAGCCTTGCATTTCTATACCAACAATCTCATCTTAGCCGTATAATAAATATATAATAAATCTACGAGCTAATATTGCATACACGCATCTTAAATGGAAATAATTTTTAGTGCTTAGTTAACTGTGCCTAGACGATGCAATATTTGAACGCGAAATATGCACACACACTACTGTTAACGAAAGCCGGCGACATTACTCACACATGTAAGTTACAAATAGGATACTTGTGTAAGGACGTGGATGACAAACAGAATGTATTACTTTCACTATTATGTATATATACTTGATAACTTAGAGTGTTACTTAAGTTTTAGCTATTTTAATGTTTCCACTTCTGATAGAGTCGGGGTAACGTAGCAGTTTGTACACTTACGTAGCTGGTAGTTCGAAACCTTTTATTAAAATGTACAATTTTGTACGGAATGTTGTGATAAAATCAATCAGTGAATGCATTCGCCCCATGCCCTAAAAGACAATACGGATTGACAATGCGAAAATAAAATTACATGTGATTTGACTAGCACGTTAAAAGGCTTTAATGCTCTCTTGGGAGGTGCGTGTCCCAGCAGAGAGACATGTTAAATGGCTGGTAATTTTGCTACAAATTTTTAATATACAAGATTTGATATGATATTTGATATCAAAGGTATAAGGACAATATTTTGTCTTTATATCTTACGACATACAATATAACTATTTTGATACACTGCAGCGTCTTGTTTGTTGAATTTTATAACAGTTTTTTACTAATACTAACCAAAACTTCGGCTCAATATGACGTTAAAATAGTCTATTATAATTACTACAAAATTTATGAGTGCTATATGAAAGATCATGTTTAAATACTGTCTTTAAATAAAACATTTTAACTGTTTTAAATGCGATATTAGAATTATAGAAGAACGTGTTTATTCAGTTTTTTACGTTAATCGTACTGTATGTAATTAAGTCTCTTTTATTAATATAGGTACGTAATATTCGAGAAAAAAGAATTCGAGAGTCGAATACGACAGAAAGTTGCTTATAGACGAACAGGCGTATGCTTTTCAATTTCTCTGTTTAATGTGTCTAGTGCCTAGCAATGAGTTAAGCGCACAGCAACTTATTGCTAGGCACTACTATACTATAATCTATTATCTGGGTTCAAATCCCGGGGAGAGAGTAGATTCTGTCGGTCGAGCAAGGCACAGATACCAGATCAACTACTTGTCTGTAAGTAAAACCGATCTGTAAAACGGACGCAGAAATGTGTTCGCCCCATGCCCCGCGGGGGAAACGGAATTTCGCTTTATATACCTTTTCCACGTATTACTAGAATCGTAATCTTTCAGTTAGACGCTATGAGAAAGACGTTCACAAATGTAGAGCAAGTATATGCATTAGTGTGCAGTGTTTGTGTGTGTGTCCTTAACGAGTAGTTGGCTGGTGCAGGGTTCGAGGTGCGGGCGGCGCCTATTCCTAGAGCAAAACTAGGCCGGCCGCCGACCGCTGGGTGTGGTCTAAGTCATAAGCGGAAACGCTATTCTTCAGCAGGAAGTACTGACAGGTCTCAAGTTACAAAATCCGAATATTGACCTTAATCATTTATGAGGCAGGGAAGCATATATCTCTACAACTTTATTTATAACTTAAAGAATGTTAATACAGGTAAACCAAGTATTTTTTATAATATAGATCCAAATTGTTTATATAAGATTAAAACTATTTTTGGGCTGCATAAATATGACGTTATTGTGGTTTTTCCTTATGCGGTTAAAAGTTGTATGCATTAAGCGCGACATCATGGTTCAAATCCCAGGGAAATAATCGCTTTAGTTGAGCAGAGCAAGTCTAATTAACCTGACTTGGAGGAAAATCTGTGAAAAAATGTATGTCCCTTTTTCTCTTTTTCAAAAATATATATTTTCTGTTTTACTATAAATATAAACCGTATTTACCATCTGTAAGTTTCAATACTATCAAGCTTTAAATTAAGACTTTAAATAAAGTCATTGACCCGAAAATTACATCATCATCGTTGATTTAAATAAAACACTTTAACGGTTTAAAACGCGATATATTAGTAAAACTTATTTGAAAATGATTTTTAACTTCGGCCCGACGTTTCGGATGCTTTGCAGCAGCCGTGGTCACGGGGAGACTGTTAAAGTGTTTTATTTAAATGTGTACTACTCGCGTAAACTATAGACAGTATTTAATCATCGTTGATTCTTATATAATTAAAAATATTTGCGAATTAAGCTGTAGGTTAATCACGTTCGTATAGTTGGCAAAATATTTGGTAGGCAATTTCTTCTAATACTCATATATTTAAAACTATCAGTTACCTCTAAGATTCTTATATAGGTACTATAGATTCATAGTTAGTCTATGGACATTTAGGAACTAGGAAATTACTATTTATTATAACCATTTATAACAATTACACTATTTGAAACAGATTTTACACCTATGTTATTCTATACAGCAACTTTTGTCTATTTTCAGTAGTTATTAATAAGCGCACAATAGTGTAAGCTTCATATAATACTAGATATCACTAATGTTATTATCACGAATATTTATATAAGCTTGTTTTTTTTTTCACCCAAAGAGTACTGAATGAAATTTAATCAAAATTGCTGTTATGTAATAAATACAGCTATCATTACAAAGTTTTGTTTGTTATTTGACTCTTCTCTTAAAAGATGGGAAGTAAGAGCCACGATGCTGTTTCGGTATGGGTTGGTCAGGCGTTAACAGTTTCCGCTATTAAATTTGTGATGAGTATGTTAATACTACCTACCTTTCACATGCCCCAGGATTCGAACCTTGGATGTCGCAGTTGAAATTTCGTTTGCCCCGTGGAGCATAAGGCGAATACATTTTTGTGTCCGTTTTACTGATCGATTATTTTATAAGCGAGTAGTTGAGAGTGATGACCCCTGCCTGACTAAAACATTCTATTGATTCCCCCGGGATTCAAACCCAGGACCTCACGCGCTTAAGCCAACGCTAGGCAACACGTTTAAATATCTGTAACGTTAAGTATTTAACAAATAAGTATTTTCATTTAGACCAAGCAGTCTTTGAATCCGGACGCGTGATATTGCCAACGAAAAATTACTTCTCAGAACAAAGGTTCAAGAATCACAAAAGTAGCTCGCACAGGCTTCTCTTTCAGACTTTTCATAAACTTCAAGGAATGTTTTATTCCTTTTGTTAAACATGAAGGACGTCGCTCTGTATCTGTAAAGTACCAACAAATAATGGTCTATTTCATAGAATAAGTGTTTGTTTGATTTTTTAAAAGCAGCGCGACTAAGTATATAAAAAGATGAACATTATCTTTCTGTGGGATTGTTGAAAGGATGTAGAAAGATGATGTAGAAGAAGATGGAAGGTAGTAGAAACTTGGCGCTGTAGTCAAAATAAAAATCCTTGTCTGATCTTGTCTCTCATTTCACATTCTAAATTTAAAAACTATATACGTAATTGTTAAATTATATTTCAGTTTTAAGTGTATTAAATACCTTTAAAGGTTTAAAACGCAAAATGAATTACTTTAAGGTATTTACAAATGATTTCATTAAAAAATTAACGTCGTGCCGTAGTTTTAATAATTGTTACATGTAACTAATATATTTCGTGTTTTAAACCGTTAAAAGAGTTTTGTTTTAATGTTCTAATGTTCTTCAGTGTACTATAACAAGTAATTTCCTTTTATCATAGAGAAATAAGGGGCGAACCCTAATGGACACTACGGGGAGTCTGTTCCCCAATATACGATCTTATTTAATGGACCTCTTTGATGCAAAGAATCATTAAGCATTGGATATTGGAACTTAAGTAACTTCACTGCTTACTACCACATTAACATTGAAGGTTATATTTCCAATAATGTCAATAGCAAGCTGGGCTACGCCTAAGGCGGTCGTGTCTTGTAATTCAATTGCGCAATATCCGTATTCTCATAATATTAATGCTCAGCTATCGAACTTAGACCACATCTCGCTTACACTTTAGAAAGTGTTTTCACTTAATACTAAGCCACGCTTGGCGTTTCGGAAGAAAGCAATAGTTGGTTAAATCCCATTGAAATCTAGTGAGAACATAGATTACAACTACTTATAAAATACCATTATATTTTAAGTAAAAAAGAGATGACACAGCCCTTTAAAAAACCCCCCCCCCACGGGAAAAACCATTGCAGAACGGAAGAGAATAAGAAGGATAAAGAAAATCAAAGAAAGAAGACAAAGTAATTAAATATAGCTAAGGCATGGTTTGCATTTATTTTTTAAACCCTTATAACTTTGTTTAACAAAACAGAACCCGTCTTACGGTTTACGCGCAATCGGCTATTATTGCATGACTGTCAGATATTAGTAGGATGTAATAAATTCCAAGAACGATAACACAGTTAGAATTCATATAAAT